TTTTTCCTTTCAGGTTGATGGTGAATATAGTTAAAGTCTGAAGCTCTTCCAAAATTTCTCCTGCTCCAGGACTTTTTTTTTTGCATAAGGGTTATGTATTCTTAACTACAGATCTGTAATCTCTCTGCTCCTGGATAAGCCACTCGCATGAGCACACATCTTTCAGGTAACTTCCATACCAGAGAACTTTAAGATCAAGATTCCTAGTTCACTGTTGTTGTTGTTGGATGCCTCGAGTTGATTTTTGGCTCACAGTGACCCCATGTGATAGAGTAGAACTGGGTTGTCTTGGCTGTAATCTTTATGGAAACAGATCACTAGGTCTTTCTCCCATGGAGCCACTGGGTGGGTTAGCAGCACAAGTGCTTAATCAATGCACCACCAGAGCTCACAGACCAAGAATATTTTTGGTGGTATCTGCTAGATTTTTGAAAGTTATGACATTTCTCCTACTCTGAACTCTGACAGTAATCACATATCAAGATCTCCGTAACACCTTTACCTAGGTCCTCTTGAGTGCCTCTTCCTCCATAATCTCTCCCTGGGTTATGGCGTCAAGGCCCAGGAATGCAATTCCCATTTTATACTGAGGACGCCCACATTGATTCCTGTGACCATGACCTCTCTTCCAGGCTCCGGATTCACACAGTAGTTTGACATCTCCACCTGACTTCTCCACTTAGGGGTCTCAGACATGGCAATCCAAAACTGAAGTCTCCTTCCACTTCCAAACGTGTTTCCTATGCATCACCCCCGCCCCATCAGCCAGTTAAACACAACTCAGAAATCTATGAGTCATCCTCGATTCTGCCCTTTCCCTCATCCCTCTAGTCCAAACCATCTGTATGTCCTTGGGAGTCTATCTCTAGATCATCTGAAATCCATCCTCTTCTCTCCACCTCCACGGCCACCTACTTGGGCCACCCAACTGCTTCGAATCTGCAATAGCTCCTAGATGGTTTCTCCACTTCCTCTTCTTCCCACTCTACTCATGTACATTCCAGTCTCAGCTCTAACCAGCAGCAAAAGACATCTTCTTTAGATATAAATTGGGTCACATCTCCCCTGCTTAGAACTCTCCAATAGTTTGCCATTATTCTTAAGATCAAGACCAAACTCTTGACTATGGCCAACTAGACCCTGCAAGAACCGCCCCTACTTACCTCTCCAAATCCATCCGGTGACGCTCTTCCCCTGCTTGCCTGAAATATACTGTATTAGTTCCCTATAGCTGCTGTAACAAATTACCAGTGGCATCACTAAGGAGCCGCAGGGGGTGTGGATCACACCGGGTGTCACCATCAGTAGAGATGACACCAAAATGACTCTCTATAAAATTTTTTGTAGTTTCAGCAGAAATCTATTATTTTTAATAAAAATATCCCTGTAGTTAGTTATAACCACAAAAACATTTTTTGTAAGCCCTTGTTACATGTATCAATATACCTGTCGTTATTGTTGTTAGGTACCGTCCAGTTGGTTCCGACTCACAGCGACCCTATGTACAACAGAACGAAACACTGCCTGGTCCTGTGCCATCCTCACAATCATTGTTATGTTTGAGGCAATTGTTGCAGCCACTGTGTCAATCCATACTGTTGAGGGTCTTCCTCATTTTTGCTGGCCCTCTACTTCGCCAAGCATGATGTCCTTCTCCAGGGACTGATCCCTCCTGATAACATGGCCAAAGAATGTGAGACGTAGTCTCGTCATCCTTGCTTCTAAGGAGCATTCTGGCTGTATTTCTTCAATATACCTACAAGGCTAAAACTCTATGCTAATTTACTTTTTGAACCTTCTAATGCACTCTGGTCAGTGCTGTCATTATTATCCAATTACAATGATGCTTCGAGTCACATGGTTTCGTCTGCACACACTACAGGCATGCTCTGTTGTTTTCGTTGCTGCTGGCGTTTTCATAGTCGATGATTTTGTCAAATTTTCTGGTGTTTTAGCTACAATATTGTGGTAATTAGTATTCATGAAACTATATAAATAACTTTTTTGATAATAAAGTAGTAATTAAAGGAAATGAAGGAGTGGTATACAGGAATTATGATTTACGAGTAACATTAGTAGAAAAAACATTACTAAGCATCCTGTATGGTTTGGTACAGAAGAAGGTCCATGGGAGGGTGATACCATGTGTTACCGCACTGGCTGACACCAACCCTAGTTATGTCACTGCAAATTACCACAAATTGGGTGGTTTACAACACAGATTTAACTCTCCTACAGTCAAGGAGTCCTGGTGGCACAGTGGTTAACCACTCAGTTGCTAGCCTAATGGTCAGCGGTTCAAACCTGCCAGTCATCGGAGGGAGGAAGATGTGGCAGTCTGTTTCCATAAAGATTTACAGCCTTGGAAACCCTATGGAGCAGTTCTACTCTGTCCTACAGGGTCGCTATGAGTTGGAATCAACTCGATGGCAAGGGGAATGGGTTTACAGTCCTGGAGGCCAGAAGGCCAAAATGGTTTCACTGGGGTGAAACCAACGTGTCAGCGGGGCTGCTCTTCCTCCAAAGGTCCTAGGGGAGAATCAGTTTCCTCGCCTTTTCTGCCTCTAGAGCTGTATTGCTTGTATTCCTTGGCTCAAGGCTGCTTCCTCCATCTTCAAAGTCAACAGTGTAGCATCTCGCTTCAGCAGTACATTGCCTTCTTCTGTGTCAAATTACCCTTTGCCTCCTTCTAATAAGGACACTTGTGATTGCATTTAGAGCCCCCTTAGATACTCCAGGATAAATCTCCCCATATCAAGATCCTGAATTTAATCACATTGGACTCTTTTGACATATAAGGTAACAGTCACAGGTTCCAAGGATTAGGACTTGGATGCCTTTGGGGGCCGTTCTTCAGCCTGCCACACACCAAGCTCTTCCTCATGACAGGGTCTTTGTACAGTGTGTTCCCCGTGATTGCAATGCTGCTCCCACCCTCCTCACTCTGCATGACCAGCCCCTTGTCATTTGTGAGGTTATGGTTTCCATGTCACCTCCTCTGAGCACCTATCTCTGACAAACCCCAATCTAAAGGTTTCCCTCTGTCTTGGAGCTTTTTATTTCTTTTCTAGCACTTAGAGGGTGTACCTTGTTTTATGTACTTTTTGATTCCCTTGTTTTTTGCCTGCTTCTCCTTCTACATTCACCATCAATGCCTGGGGAACAGGGACCATGTCTGTTTTGCCCATCCACTGACTGTCAAACACAACCACCAGTTGCCATGGAGTCCGCTCCGACTCGTGGCAACCCATGCGTGTCAGAGGAGAACTGTGCTCCACAGGGTTTTCAATGGCTAATTTCTTTTGGAAGTAGATCACAAGACTTTCGTCCAAGGCACCTCTGAGTAGACTTGAACTACCAACCTCTTGGTTAGCAGCTGCACACTTTAACCATCTGCACCACCCAGGAACCCCTCAAACATAACTAGTTAATAAATAATTCCTGAACGAATTTGTTGCCCTTGATGCAAGGTGCCATTGAATCGATTCTGACTCATAGCGACCCCACGTGATGGAGTAGATCTGCCCCATAGGGCTTTCCTGGCTGCAATCCTTACGGAAGCAGATCACCAGGTCTTTCTCCCATGGAGCCACTGGCAGAAAGCCATTGGTTCAAACCACCAACCTTTTGGTTAGCAGCCAAGTGCTTCACCATGGCGCCACCAGAGTTCCTTTAAATGAATTTAAGGAAGAGGAATTTGCAACAAATGGGCTAGTGTGTTTACTCCTGAGAGAAGGCAACCTGTTTCCACCTTCCTCCTGACTTTATATATCACAAACAATGGTCTGGGCAGAAAATAACACCAACAACAAAGACACAGACACGCTTGCACACAGGAGGCCGGTGAGATGCTGCAGCACTTAGCAAGCCAGGCACGCTGAAATCTTTCTTCTCGGGAGCAGGACTAGACTTCGGTCAGCAGCCACCTGAGCCCTTGCTCATTAAACGCAGCTGGGAATGACTTCAACAAACCTTGCACAGGAGGCTGCTCACTGCAGAGAGCCGTAGTCAAACCTTCTCTGTCTTTCTCCTGCTCCAGACTCCTGGAGCCACTTTGAGAGAATTGAGGGAGAACCCAGGGCCCTTTCATGTTTGCTGCGGTCTTTCAGCCTGGGCACCATGAGGCTCCCGTACAGCTTAAAATTTCATGCTGGGTTAGGCTTTGCTAAGCCAAAGTCAAATGGGTTTTGACTGCCAGGCTATTTCTAAGAATTGCTTTTGCCTTCAGCAATAAATTATCTAGTTGAAAACATCATTTTTCTTTCCCCTTTAAGCAGAAAATTGTGCTTTAATCTTTGACACGTTTCAGGAATATTTTAAAATGTTTGGCCACAACGAAGACGGCGTTGGTGACTCAATAGTTTTGTCCTCTGTGATTATTTACAGCAGAATGCTCATGGCCACGTTTTCTATAAAAATACAAACTTTATCACGACGACTACCAAAGAAAAAAAAAAAAAAGAAAGAGAGAGTAGCTGCTATGTCTGCTTATGTACAACCAAACATCTTATGGGATTTGGTTTCCTGGTTTGGAGGTTTAGGGTCATGGTTTCATGGGACATCTCAGTTAATTGGCCTAATAACATGTTTAGTGCCTCTGTTCTGCCTCCTAGTTCAATGTGTAATGCCTGGGCTCTCAAAAGCTTGCAAGCAGCCATCCAAGCACAACAACTCATCTCTACTTGCCTGAAATAACAGAGGAAGGAGAGTCAGCAATAGGTGGAGGATATGGAATGTATGGCTAATTGCCTCCATGAATAGCTGCCTCCTTTGCCACGCAACTAGGAGAACTGGATGGCACCCGGCTACCATTACTGAACATTTTGCCCAAAGATTCCACAGAAGAATCCTGATCAAAAGGGGAAAAATGCGGAACAGAATTCAAATTCTCATGAACTCCAGACTTCCGGGAGCCATGAAGGTTGGATGAACCCCTGAAACTACTGTCCTGAGATAATCTGTAAACTCTAAACCAAAAATATCCCCTAAAGTCTTCTTAAAACCAAACAATAGTTTCGCTTAACTAGTAAAAAAAAAAGTCTGCCTTGAGCAGTATGCTCTTTTAAGAATTATCTATAAGGGATCAAATTGACAATTGAAACTCAAAAGATTAATAGGAACCTAAAGCGGCACTGAACTGATGGGAATTGGGGAGGAACAACTCAGAAAAGGAGCGTGAGAATGGTTACACAACTCGGAACGTAAACAATGTCACTAAATGGTACATGCAGAAACTGTTGAATCGGTGTATGTTTTGCTGTGTATATTCTCAACAACAACAAAATAAATAAAATTACATTAAAAAACATAAACTTTGGAGAATAAACAAACTGGTTTATAAATATTAACCAGTTTTCACAAATAATAATGTTTAAATAATGACACGTGTATAGCACCTGGCAGTTTACAAAGGTTTCCACGTGCATCATTTTGAAAAATCAAGAAAGACGTGTGCTTATATGGCGGGGCCTGATTGTGCCCCTGTAAACTTTCAATCCATGACTTTATGTCCTAAAGCATTCTGGAACAAATGAAAAACCGAGCCACCTCTTATGAATATATTTCAGAAGTCTGTCTTCAGAGTTCAGTTCACAGGTATCAACCAGAGCCCTAGTGGGACCATTCAAAATTCTGGCCCAGATTCATTTTTAAAAGCTGCACTTGGATGGAGGGGCTGCTTCCAAAGGTTTAACTGAATAGTGACTGATTTCACTGGAAATAAAAGTCCACATGTGACCCCAGCTGTAGTGTGGTCCTATTTTTCTTGCAAATCTAGAAGGTCGTGGGGAAGAAGCTGGACTGTGCTGTATTCTCTTCCAACAATGCCTTACGCACCAGAAAGGAGAGCAGGGTAAACTGCAGCTCTGCTCCCGCTGGGAGGGGAGTGGGGTGCTGGGGGTGCTCTAAGCAAAATATCAAAGCTTAACACACCAATGTTCTGAATCTGCAACCACAGAGGGTATTCCATGTGCGGGGATCCAGGATGAGTCGGAGGAGCCAGATATGAGGAAAGAACCATGAGTCTCACCAGGGCAGACGGCTGCTTCCAGAACACCCTCTCCTCACTGTGGGAGGAGTAGAGAAGGGGGGCTTTCATGCAGGTCCAGGTCTCTATACAGCGGGTACTCAGTTAACACTCATGAGCCCCACTGACCCCTGCAGGATCAGCTGGAGATTTGGCTCCGTGCTGTGAAGGGGGCTGCCCCTCTTCTGCATCCGTGGATCAACTCTTGGGAAGAGCTTGATGGCAAACATGTTGTCAGGTGCCACTGAGTTACTTTTGGCTCCTAGTGACCTTATGTGACAGAGGACAACTGCTCCATAGGGTTTTCTCGGCTATAATCTTTGAAGCAGATCACCAGGACTTCCATGGAGCCACTGGGTGGATTTGAACCACCAATTTTTCAGTTAACAGCCAAGCGCTTAACCATTGCACCACCAGGGCTCCTTATGGCAAAAGTAGGCTTGGGAGAAGTCTATTCTGGAAAGCATTGATGCTCCTTCCTCCATCAGAAGAAAAGTGACCAATTACATTTCCAGAAAACGACATCAGCCCTGAGCAGGGCAGAGCTCAGTCTGAATGGGCTGCCGCCACCATATGTAATCCAGCTTCTGGGTCCAAACAAACTGAGATAAGCATCGGCCCGGAGACATCAAAGCAAGAGTCTGGTGTCCTTGTGGCTGAGGGTCTCGATTTCCTCTGGAGAGAAAGTGTTCCCTCGGAGCCTAAGGGGGAAAGAGTGAAGAGAGGTTTGAGTGAGAACAAAACCAGACCAGTGCTTTGCAGAGGAAGCTGCCGCTTTTCAACACAGGCCTGGGACAGTCTGAGCCTCAGGCCCAGCTGCAGCTCTTCTGGGGGGGTCAGTCTGTGAGGTTTGGACCCTCCACCAGCCATGCGGGCTCGTGAATCATTCTGCATGATGAGCACAGCTCCACGACGCTGCAGGGAGAGAGCCCACACTGGACCCAGCAGGCCACAGGCTCCCGGAGGCTGGCGATTCTTTTTAAGGCAACAGCAGAATCCATCAAGAATGCAATGAGCAAGTCCTGATACCCTCCCAAGCTCTGCAAACACGGCAGCAAATCACATCAGAACCCTTAAAATATCAACCTCCTGCTGGCTTGCCCCCAACCCCGGACACAGAATGTGACATTTCTTAGGGCTGTGCAATGGCCTAAAACACACACACACACACACACACACACACACTGCCCTGGACCTGATGATCTCAGAGGCTACAGGGATTATACAACCGTGCAGAAGGGAAAAGCTTGCCTTCTCAGGACAGAGATTCTGAAATTCTAGCTGGCTTTGTTTTGCACATTGACGCTTGATACTGACATTTGCTGCTGTCTTCATGTGATTTTTCAGGGGAAGAACAAGATCTGCGTCTGCATATGTAAAGCAGGGGTCACAAGCTTATAGAGACGAGGTAGCTCATATATAGGCGCCAAAGGGGACTGGTCTGAGACAACCAGCTTGGTGGGTCACATAGAGCAGGGTCATGCACCCGACTGGGGTAGGTCCCTCCTCTACTCTGGATAATTACTAGCTTTGCCAACAGGAGTCTAGAGTTGCCAGGTCTTTTGAGAAAGCTATGAAATACAGATTTTACATGAAATCTCCTCGTTTTTAATTATTGGTATCTAGGCCAGGGCTGTTCCTATAGCTGGATGCCATTGAGTAATTCCAACTCATGTCAACTCCATATGACAGAGAAGAACTGCCTCATAAGGGCTTCCTAGGCTGTAATCTTGATGGAAGCAAATTGCCAGGTCTTCCTCCTATGGAGACGCTGGGTGGGTTTGAACGGCCAACCTTTCGGGTAGCAGCCAAGTGCTTAACCGCCACCAGGGCTCCTTAGCCCAGTGCTAGATATACACTAACCATCACTCAGGATACATTAAACCAGGGGAAATCGTTCTACTTATTATCTGAGTTAGAAACGTTTTTGTTGTTGTTGTTAGCTGCTGTCCAGTCAGCCCCAAACTTATGGTAAGCCCACGTAAAACTGAATGAAATGCTGCGGGTCCTGTGCCATCCGTACGACGGGTAGCTGATCAGACCCTTGTGATCCATACGGTTTTCAGTGGCTGATTTTCAGAAGGAGATCACCAGACCTTTCTTCCTAGTCTGTCTTGGTCTAAAGTTCCACTGAACCTGTTCAGCGTCACAGCAACATACAAGCCCCCACCGACAGATGGGTGGTGGCTGTGCCTGAGGTGCCCTGGCCAGGAATCAAGCCCAGGTCTCCTGTGTGGAAGATGAGAATTCTACAACGGACCCGCCACTGCCCTCATGAGTTAGAACTAGATCCCTGGAAAGAAGGGGGAGAAATCTTTGAAGGTGTGACCCGACGCTCTTTTCAAATACATGAAGGAGTATGGCTGTTAATTACACAGACTCAGATCCACTGTACCACAGCCCCACCCTATGGTCACCTCCATTCAGAGCTGCAGAGGGTGTGATACAACATCCTTGGCCTAGGAAGGCAGATGGCCATCCAGGAAGGGCAGGAGCTGAGCTCTTTTTTCTTATTTTCATTCTTCATTCACACCCCCATTCCTATCCTATTACCTACAATAGAGAAGTTTCTAAATTCTCAGGATTAAAAAATGAAAGACTTGGCCCCTACCAGATATGTGAAGACTTCTTTCCCAGACAGAGAGATAGATCCATCACACGAAATGGCATCAGATGTCAGAGTCAGGAGGCATCTTAGAAATTCCAAAGTTCTCTCTTCCCTCACCCCATTTTACAAATCAGAAAACTGAGGCTCAGAGAGGTAAAGAGCCCTGCCCGGGGGCCTTACCAGACTTCTAGGATGGTGTCATTCCTCTCAAGGGCCTGCAGGAGGGCTTCTGCTCCAACACAGGAGATGCAGTTGTTGGACAGCCTGGAGAGGAAGGTAGAATGGTGAGCTTCCGGAATGCCTGCTTCTCACAGGGCTGCCCAGTTAAAGGAGGCGTAGGGAGCTGGCTGGTCTAGTCCAGCTGCCGAAGCCCTCCTGGACATGGCCCTCTCCTGTCTGAGATTCTCCGGGATCTCGTCAACAAAGGCTCAATGCCTCGAGTGAAATGCACCCCTTCTCTCTTCTGTTCATGGGTGATCGAACTATTATAATCTACTTACGTAACTAACCAGCCTCCCCTGAGGAATGCGCTAGAGCATAGTGGTTAAGAATCTGCGTTTTAGTGCCAGACTTCCTGGATTCAAATGCAACCTACATCACTTCCTTTTTGATCTCAACTAGGTGCAGTTTCTTCATCTGTAAAATGGGTCTAAGAGTACCTACCTCAGGCAAAAAAACAAACAAACATCCAACCCTGTTGCCATCAAGTTGACTCCAACTCATAGTGACCCTAAAGGGCAGGGCACAACTGCCCCATAGGGTTCCTAAGGAGCGGCTGGTGGATATGAACTGCCGACCTTTTGGTTAGCAGCCAAGTTCTTTAACCACAGCACCACCAGGGCTCCACTTACCTCACAGAGTATAGCAATTAAACAAAGAATGGCATATACAAAGCACGTGGCCCAGTATTTAACTGGTAGAAAATAATCAATGAATAGTAATATTTTCATTATGGGGGCCCCGGGGGCATATGAGTCAGAATCGACTTAATGGCAACGGGTTTGGTTTTGTTGGTTTTAGGGGTCACAGGGACACAGATTAGAGAAAATATGAGGTTGGGAATGGGGAGGGGAGATGGGGCACCGTCAGGGAGAGCGGGGGAAGAGCCACTTGTTTCTCTGCTGCTGTCTGGCTCACAGCTTGGCCTTCTAGATGATTTCCACGACCTGTCTTCCCCCTCTTCCACAACTTCAGGAACTTCTTAGAAGCTGACTCTAAGACAATGCTAATGATAATAATAGCCAATATCTGCTGAGCTCTTCCTATATGCCAGCTTGTTACCCACGTCATCTCAGGGAATGTTCACAACCTGATGTCAAGTTGATTCCAACTCATAGTAACCCTATAGGACAGAGTAGAACTACCCCATAGGGTTTCCAAGGAGCGCCTGGTGGATTCGAACGGCTAACTTTCTGGTTAGCAGCCGAGCTCTTAACCACTGCGCCACCAGGACTCCCACAACCCGAAGAGGAAGGTCCAATTATTATCTGCATTTATGCTTGGGGAAACTGAGGCACTAGTCCAAGGCAAAACAGTGGGTAATGGCAGAGCTGGAGTACAAATTCAGGCTGTACGGCCCCAGAGCCTATACTCAGAATCAACGCTTGGCAGTAGCTAAGCCTGGGAGAAAAATGCAGGCATTTCTTTTTTAAAGATCTAACAGAAGCTCGGTTTTTATGGGAAAACAATAAGCAGGGGAGGATAAATCAGTGATGCTGAACTGTAAGGCTGGCGACAAGGTAGTATGGGATGCCTCCCACCACCATTGCCATTGGGGTCAAGTTGGGAAGGTCTGTGACAACGAGGGTGGACAAATTTGTCACATCCACATGTGCTGGCTTGGACAAATCCAGCCTCCCAAGTCTGCTTCCATCCAAGTGACAGGTGGAAGTGTTTTCCCCAAACATTTGGCAACTTTCTAGCCCCAGCAAAGCAACAGAAACAAGCGCCGCCAGAGTGGCTGGTGGTCTGGCAGCGAAGCCGACGTGCTCCCCGAGGCAGCTGTCTGCCTGTCTCTGAAGATGGGGGTTTCCCCAGGCCCCATTTGCCAGAGCAGATGCCACCTTCCTCTAGGAAAAGGAGCCATCTGACGGGGCCCTGATGTCCCCGGGAAATGAGACCTTGGGCGCCATGAATGGTGTGCAGCCTATACTGGAGAGCACCAGCACCCGTGCAGGATGCTCACTCGGTGGTGCCCTGCTCACAGCCACTGTCCCTGTCCTCATGGCACAGGTCCCTGCAGAGGCATATCTAAGGTATGGCAGGTAGGGCACGTGCCCTGGGCGCCACTTGAAGGGGGGGGAGCACGGAGCACTTCGTATTAACCCGGTACGACCCAACGGTCTTCCTCAAGCACGCTGGACATCAATGCATACAAAAGCCAAAACAGCAGTCCAACAACCGAATTTGGTACCTAAATTTTTGCGAGAGAATGTTTGGACAGGGGCGCCATTTCAGTGCTTGCCATAGGCGCTAGATACGTTGCTGGGCCCTTGCCCACCAAGTCCACCACCAGAGGACCCCAGATCACCTCCTCATCAACACTGCTCCTAACCCAGCAGGACTTCCATAAGCTTCTGCTATCTAACCAGGTCTCTCCACTGCCCTTAGCTTGATTCAAGCCTCCTTCCTCGCTCGCCTGGAAGACCACAGGAGCCTCCTGACTGGTCTCCCTGCTCCCATCTGTCCCCTCTTCAATCTGCTCCGTGCAAAGAGGCAAAAATGACTGGTTTATGATATAAATCAGATCATGTTACTCCCCTAATTAAAACCCTCCAAAGGGCATACACAAATAGCCACTGCAGCATCATTCACAACAGCCAAAAGGTAGAAACAACCCGAGTGCCCATCAACAGAGGAATGGATACACAATACGTGGTACATGCGTACAGTGGAAGAGACCGAAGTACCGATACTTGCTACAACGCGGATGAACCTCGGAAACACGATATTGAGAGAAAGAAGTCAGGCACAAAAGGACAAATACTGAACGACCCCGCTCATATGAAACACTCAGAATCGGCACACCAATAGAGACGGAAGTTTATGAGTCGTTACCAGGGGCTGGGGCGGGGGGAGATGGGGAGTGGTTACTTAAGGGGTGTTGAGTTTTTAATTAGGGGGATGAAAAAACCTTTGAAAATGGATAGTGGTCATGGCTACACAACACGGCAAATGTAATTAATGTCACTGAATTGTACACTTAAAATAGATAAAATGGCAAACGTTTTGCTATATATACTTCACCACAATGAAAAAAAAACTAAAAAAAAAAAAACCTCCAAAGGCTTCCCAATAGCCTTAGAATAAAATCCACTGCTCTGAGGCCTATGTGGCCCATTCTGCCTGCCTCTTTCCTCCCCCTCCCTGTACACTGTATTCCAACCACACAGGCTCTCTTTCTGTTCTCAAAACCACCAAGCTTATGTCTGCCCTAGGGCCTTTGCACATGCTGTTCCCTCCACCTGGAATGCCTTTCCTTGAAACCTCAGCACAGTTGGCACTTTGAGTTATTGAAGTCTAAACTCAAATGCCACCTTTTCAGGCAGACTCTCCCTGAACAGCAGCAACCCTGTCCTCTCCAGTCACACCCTGTCACGTCTCCCCCTTGAATTTTCTTTGTAGCCCTTATTACCACCAGAAATGGTCTTGTTTGTTTGTTTACTTGCTCATTACCTGTGTCCCCCATTAGAATTTAAGAGCCAAGACCCTGGAAGACATGGCCCCCAGACTCTCTGTTGGCCCAGGGCTGAAACCACTCCCAAGGCCAACTCCTCAGACAAAGATTGGACTGGGCTATGGGACATAAAGTGATACTTGTGAGCAGTGTGCTTCTTAGCTCAAGTGGATACATGTGACTAAATGGGCAGCTTCTGTCCGGAGGTGAGATGAGAAGGCAGAGAAGGTCAGGAGCTGGTTGAATGGACACAGGAAATCAGGGGTGGAAAGGAGGAGTGTGCTGTCATAGTACAGGGAGAGCAATGAGGGTCACATAGCAATGTATGTATAAATTTTTGTATGAGAGACTAACTTGAATTGTAAACTTTCACTTAAAGCCGACTAATAAAAAAAAAAAAAAAAAAAAAAGAATTTAAGAGCCAGGTGAGCAGGGGCCTGTTATCACTATTATCTTCAGTGTCTCAAACAGCGCCCAGCACAGAGTGGGTGCTCAAGAAACATTTCTTGCATGAATACACACATGCGTGCATGTATGCATAACTGAATGTATGCGTGCATGACGAATGAGTAAACGCATGCGTGCATAAATAAACACATGCACGTATTCATGCCTGCATAACACAACAAGATGACCATCTGAAGAACCCTCCTGCCTAAGCCAGAACTGGTCCCTGAGAGGGAGAAGGGCATTTCCCATAAGCCAGTGGCAGATGCTGTCAGTAGCTTGCCCATATTCCCTCCATTTTCACCTCTAACTCTGAGGGCTGCTTGCTGGGAACACCTGCCACTCTCCGACTGAGGCCTTGCTTCTGACCTCAGGGCTGGAAGTGCCAAGTAGTTAATGTTCCACAAGCACACCTCAACATCGCACGCTCAGGCAGTTGGTAGATAAATAGCCCAGCTTTCTCACCCCTCAGGTGGGCAGGTAACCAGGCGTGTTCTACCTGGCTCCCAGAATTCCCCATCAGTGACCTCTGAGTGAGCCCTAGCTGCCCGCCGTAGTGGTAACACATTCTTCCTTGGCTACCTCCCCTTTTCTGCCTCACTTCACTGTCTCCCACCTGTGTTTTCTGGGACCACCTGTGAATAAATTACTTGTACTTGACCAACGCAAGCTGTTTTCTACCAGGCCACCTCATGTGAGCTACTTGGGCTGGGGGGCCACCCAGATCTCTGAGCCAGAAGCGCCCCCCCACCGCCCCCAAGGCCAGTCATTATTATCCCAGCTCCTGCTTACAAGCTCCTTACTTCAGGACTTTCAAACTTGAATTTCTCTTAAGTCCTTCAGCGAGAAAACACACACCTTCATCGTGGAGATGGTTCTCCTCCAGGCTGGCAAGAGTAAGAGAGAAAATCCAATGGATGTGACAACATTGATTACAGAGGATGACGTTGATAAAGATTAACCCATATGCCCAGATTTAGAAAATCCAACATCTGAGATTCAAACTTATGGAACAGATAAAGTAGGGTGTGAGGGTTCTCAATTCCAGGGGCATTGCTGCAAGAGAATTCACCCCAGGGCACCTCTACATAATAAATTCCCTCATGCCCAGCTACCCAACACATTTTGCCTTTCTTCCTTATTAATGGGAGCCTAATTTTGTTTGAGGAAGACTGAAGGAAAATGGACGCCTTTGAATTACGGTATTGGCAAAGAATATTAAATATACCATGGACTGCCAGAAGAATGAACAAATCTGTCCTGGAAAAAGTACAGCCAGAATGCTCCTGGGAAGTGAGGATGGCGAGACTTCGCCTCATGTACTTTGGACATGTTATCAGGAGAAACCAGTCCCTGGAGAAGGACATCATGCTTGGTAAGGTAGAGAGTAACCGAAAAAGAGGAAGACCCTCAGTGAGATGGATTGACACAGTGGCTGCAACAATGGGCTCAAGCATAACAACGATTGTGAGGATGGCACAGGACGGGGCAGTGTTTTGTTCTGTTGTACACAGGGTCGCTATGAATCGGAACTGACCTGACGGCACCTAACAACAATTTTGTTTGGGAGTCCCTGGGTGGTACAAACAGTTTACATGCTCTGCTGCTAACCGAAAAGTTGGCGGTTCAAATCCATCCAGAGCCCATCTACCTCGGAAGAAAGACCTCGTGATCTACTTCCGAAAAATCAGCCATTGAAAATCCTATGTAGCCCAACCCTATTCTGACCCACATGGAGTCGCCATGAGTCAGAATCGACTTGACAGCAACTGGTACTGGTAGTTTGATTTGGGGCAGCCATGTATCTGGTGAGAAAACTACACTTCCCAGCCTCTATTGCAGCCAGGCCATCAAAACAGTGGAATTTGACAGATGGGGCTTCTGGGAATGCTTTTTAATGGGGAGACACCCATCTGTACCTTGTTTGCCCTTCCCAGGCATACAGATTGAATCCTGGACTACAGAAGTAGTGCTGCGGGTGCAGACCTTGTGATCACGAAGTAATCAACCACGAGGATGAACCCATGGGATGATGGAGCAGAGAGACAGACAGAGTCAGGCCCCTGTTGGCCTCATGTAGCCACCACAACAGCCTTGTGCTGTTTACCTCCAGACATGACAAAATAAACACTTTACCAGTTTAAGCCACTGTGGTGGTGTTCTCAGTTCTCATCGAGTCAGCTCTGACTCATGACAACCCCACGTACAACAGAAGGAAACACTGTCTGGTCCTCACCACCTTCACGATCATTTGTTTGCTTGAGTCCATTGTTGTGGCTACTGTGTATTTCAAGTACCTTCCAACCTAGGTTGCTCATCTTCCAGGAATACATCAGACAATACTCTATTGTGATCCATAGGGTCTTCATTGGCTAATTTTCAGAAGTAGATTGCCAGGCATTTCCTCCTAGTCTATCTTAGTCTGGAAGTTTTGTCCACCACGGATGACCTTGTTGGTATCTGAAAAACTGGCCACACAGCTTCCAGCAATGTGGCAACACGGATCCACCAACCATTATATGCGGGCAGATGGGTGGTGGTTAAACCTTTACAGGTGGAGGTTTTCTATCACTTTCAGCTAAAGCGATCATAACTAATACACTCACAGTGAGGTGCCCCTCTGAAGAAATTCCAGTGGCAAAGTCCAATTAGACTATAAACACGGCAGAGCTGGTGAGCCCCACCAACAGCCAAGGCCCACCCACAATCTCCTTTCTACGATAACACTCATATGTTTCACTGCCTTTCTGCTTCCTGGATAAAATCAAACATTCGGCATTTTATGTCCCTGACATAATCTGGAACTTTCCAGAACATGTCAGAAGAACTATACTAGTATGTCTGAAGGGTGGAGAACTTGGAATCAGCTTCAGGTCCACAGCCTAAGCAGGACTCATGGTTCATCTTTTCAACTTCCCCAAAATGTTACTCCACCTTCCAAGATGAACCACTGACGGTAATACCTAGTGTTCTCAGGAACTCAAACGCACTTTAAAATTACCAAACACTGTTATTACTAGCAGTAGTAGTCATAGTAATCCTGCTACAATTATAATTTAACATTTATGGAGCACTTACACCTCTGCCAGGAACTATATCAAGCTGTCGTCACTTAATTCTGACAACAATGTTTAATAGTTGGAAGCATTCTTATCCTCATAAGTGAGAAAACACAGATTCAGATTGTTATTTAACTGCCTAAGATGACAGCCAGGACTCGAATCTCAGTCTGCTGGATACCAGCATCTGTGCTCTTAACCATTATGCCATGTGCAGGCAGAAAACAAACAAATTAAGTAATTAAACAAAATGAATTAGCCCCTATATGCCAGGCTCTATAAGTGGCACACCACCCAGTTCGTATAAAGACAAACACAGTCAATCAATCCTCCATCTTTGCTTTATAACTGAAAGCAGAGGCCAGAGGATTAAGAAAGGCAGTTATCTGTCTCCCCAGAGCAGGGAATCCCCAGACTCACCAGAGCTCTTCCAGTACCACGTTCCTTTCCAACATCAGCGCTAAGGCTTGGGCACCCAGACTGCCAATGTCGTTCCCCACCAGGCTGGGCACAATCATGTAACAAAAACATGTCAGAGAACCTCAAAGATAAGCCCAAATGCATGGATGGCAAAATCCATGGCACACGTAACCCATTCTCCTCGTCTGCTCCATTTCAGGCATCACTAATTGATTACAGGGGTTCTTTCTCATTAAGTCCAGATGCAGCCTTGGAATCCTTCCCAAAGTGGTACACAAGGTAGCCACTACTAACAGACTGGAGTTGGCCCTTGAGATACAGTGTATTTGATTCAACCCAAGATCTTCAATTTACAAGTAGGGAATCAAGCATAAGCATGATTTATGGTTCATCTTTCATGGTACATCTCTGAGAGGGGAAGGAACATCTCCAAAGTCACCCAGAAAGACTCAAGAGTCCCAATTCCAAATTAATTCTTCACCCCACTGTGTAACATCCTAACCTGCTGTCATTGAGTCGATTCTGACTCATAGCGACCCATAGGACAGAATAGAACTTCCCCATAGAGCTTCCAAGGAGCAGCTAGTGGATTCGAACTGCCGACCTTTTGGTTAGCAGCCGAACTCTTAACTACTGCACCACCAGGCCCCCTAACTAACACAGGAGGATAAAAATGAAGTTCAAAGACCTTCAAAAGTGGCCTAAGCGCCTCCCTCCTCACCCTGACTCGCCCTGAAGCTTACCTGAGCCACTTCAAGCTCCGGTGGTTACTCAAGGCTTCAGCCAAGGCCTGGGCACCCTTGTCACCCACCCTGTTGCCCCAGAACCTGAAAAGACCAACAAAGTCAACAGAGAGTGAGCACCTGCTATGTGATAACACTATCCTAGACATGTGCTAACAGCACGCCCTGCTCCCTGCAGCCCCAGCCAGGGGAGCAGGACCTCCCAGTCCCAGGGAGGCCTCACTGGGTCACCCGCCAGCAGTGTAACTGTCTCCATTTTCTTGGCTGGATGGCCAAACTTCACTGTCATTTTTCTGTGGCTTTAGATCACAGACTTAGAGCATATCAGAGGCCCACCCGGCCCACAGCCTCAGAGACAGGGAACTTACACGGTTGTTAACATTTTTCCTGACATTTCATTCAGATCTGCCTCCTGGTAACTGCCACCCAGTGGTCCTTAATTACCCTCTGGGACCACCCAGACAAGTCTAATTCTTCTTCCACAAGCCAGTTCTTTATCTCTTCTTGCTCCTTCTTCACATCCCCAGTTCCTTCCAGATGTCTAGTTCCTTCAGCTTCTGGGTCACCCCCCTCTGACCCACTATAGTTTGAAAGTACACTTGGCAAAAAGGTGGAACCCAGTTCAGACCTTCTGACGCAGCTATTTCACTTGTGGGAATTTACCCTGGACATGAATGTGCACCAGTGGGAAACACGGCTGAACTAGGGTGTTTACTGCGCTTTCACTGACTCCGTAAATACTGACTGAGTTTCTGGGGTGTGCCGGCACTGCTCCAGGCTCCAGGGATACAACATTGAAATTGCAAAACAACCTGGAGACAGCCTAAGCGTGTACCAACAGAAAACCGGTTGCCGTCGAGTCAATTCCAACTCATAGCAACTCTAAAAGAGTAGAACTGCCCCATAGGGTTTCCAAGGAACGGAATCAACAGGGGGCCGATTAAATAGATCACGGACATCTGCTCAGTGGAATGAGGTCATAATGATATGAAGATGCTTATTACGTATTGTTAAGCAAAAACAAAAAAAAAAAAAATGCAAGTGACAGAGAAGAGTTTGTATCATATGACACTGTTCGGCGTTTTTAGCAGAGTGCCTGGTCCAGAGAAGGTGGCGTAATAAATACGTGTTCAAAGATAAATAAACAGCCCAGACGTGACCTCAAGCAGGAGACAGCACAGTAGGGCTATGGCCATCTTTGTTGAAGACCCTGCACCGCTGCTCAGGAAGCTGAAAAAGGTGCTGACTTCTCGAGCAAGAGTCCTGCTCCTGGATCAAAGCGTGCTTTGTGGGCAGCAACTTGCCTACCTGTGAAACGGGTCGGAGCACCTGGGCCCTAAGGTTATTCTCACTTCCAACAGTCTTGGGTTCTGAACCCCCTAGTTCTTATCAAATGGACCCCAGTCCATACCAGGGTGTGACAGAACAGGAGTGGGGCTCTCAGGGACTGCCTGGGTGCAGCCCTTGCAGGGGGGTGGGGGGCAGTTGCTCTGCGCAGCGAACAGAGGAAGCCCACCTGGGGCCCTGCAGTCTGTGGGACAGACTTCTCAGCCTGGGACTGACTCCACTCCCCTCCCTGATGGGCCTAGCAGGGCCCCACACAAGCAAGAGCTCTGAAGGACCCAGGGGAGCGTCCTGCCATCCTGGGTCCATCTCCTCCCTCCCCACCTCCTTCTCTTTCCCAGTCCGTGCTTCTCACCCCTGGCTTCACCTCCCCTTGGGAGCTTTCCAAAATTACTGATGCCTGGGCCCCACACCCATTGCCGTCGAGTCAAGGAACCTTGGTGGTGCGGTGGTTAAGAACTTGGCTGCTAACCAAAAGGTTGGCAGTTTGCATCCTCCAGCCACTCCTTGGAAACCCTATGGGGCAGCTCTACTCTGTCCTACAGGGTCGCCACGAGTCAGGATCGACTCGACAGCAATGGGTTTGGTTTTTTTTATTTGGGCCCCGCACCCAGGTATTTTCATTTAATTAGTCATAGGTGGGGCCCAAGCAACGGTGCATTTTAGAAGCTGCCAAGTGATTCCAACGTGCAGCCAAAGCTGAGATGCACAGCCTTAGGTGCCAGAGGACCAGAGGGCTTCCTGTCACCAGCTCATGAGCCCTGCCTGCCCCAGCCCTGACATCCTCAACTTCCTGTTTATCAGGAGAAGAAGCACTGAGGCAGCCGAGGCCCACCCACTCTCTCCCTGGCTCACCCTCCCCACTGTAGCCTGGATGCCTCTGGGGGCTTCTGGCTGAAGAGTTTCACCTGCCCCTAAGTCCTCGCATGCCCAAGCCCCTCTGTGCGGCTCCTCGGCCCCGGAGCCCGACCTACCCAAGAAACTGGAGGGAGACATTGTCTCGGAGCCCCTGGGCCAGCACCTCAGCCCCTGCAGCAGTGATGCGGTTATTCCCCAGCCTGGAAGGGAAGACAGAGGAAGCTGAGGGACCTTCGGGCCCTGAAGCCCCCAGCGCAGTGGGGAAGGGGCATCCTGGACAGAGAATCATGGGAAGAAAGCTCTGAGGACCTCTCCTCGCAGGACATGGGACCCATCCTCAGGCTCAAGGGCAGTGCAGTGCATGCTGCACACGCTGGACGAGCTTACTCAACCTTAACCACTACCTCGCCTTCATTTCCCACCAGCAAATGCAAAGGGGGCGGGGCTGCTTTGCAGTGCAACGTGACAGGTACAGGCAGGAGCCACCACAGGCAGCTGACCTGGGAGGTGGCCTTCCCGAAGGGTGAGGCCAGGTTGTGCAGGGTGATTTCACTGCCCCACCTTTCCTCCTGTCCCAGGCACCTGCCAGCACTAGACCCCAGCGAGCATTAACCTGTGAGAAGAGAGCCCAGCACAACCCCAGGCGGCTGGGAGGGAGCTCACTTGGGAGGAGGGATCCACCGAGCCTTCCCAGTGGGCTCTCTGCCAGGCCGGGCTGGGGGGGGGGGCGCCGCTGGGGAGGGGGCACCTCAGGAAAGCAGCCAGGCCAGGGGAACCCCAGCAAGGGAGGCCGCTGTTGCTGTTAGCTGCCATCCAGTGGGACCGAGACTCCTGGTGACTCCATGCACAATAGAACAAAACGCTGTCCAGGCTTGCATCATCCCCATGAACACTCTTCAGCCATGAGGGCTAAGGGTCAAAGGGCAGGGCACCAGTCCAGAGTTTGCTGGGGAAGACATGGTATCAGAGAAACCCTGCTCAAAAGGAGACTAGTTCAAAAAAAAATAAAAAAATAAAAAAAACACAAAAACCGGTTGCCATCGAGTCGACTCTGACTCCTGGTGACCCCACGTGTGTCAGGGTAGAACTGTGTGCCATAGGGTTTTCAATGGCTGATTTTTCAGAAGTAGATCACCAGGTCTTTCTTCCGAGGCACCTCTGGGTGGACTCAAACCTTCAACCTTTTGGTTAGCAGCCGAGCACATTTACCCTTTGCACTACTGGGACTCCCAAAAGGAGAAACTGCCCCTGAATTCAGCCTGAAAGGCATGATCCTGGTGTGGGCTGAGCCAGGGCTGAGGCTAGTGCAGACTGACTCAGCTGGGGAAAAAGCGTTTCCAGGGAACAGGGAAGCCCACAGCTCACCTCAGTGCCAAGAAGTTCTGTTTGCACGCAAGGAGCTCGGCCACGGAGCGGGCACAGCCGTCAGTCAGTTTATTGTTGAACAGGCTGGACGATTCCAGGAGAGGAGACATGGAGAGGAGAGCAAAGGACAGTGACCACCCAAACAGAATAGCCTCTTCCCTCAGGACAGGAGTCCCCCTGCACCCTTCAGCCAGCCCATGACTCCTGGACACCTGCCCAGGCCTGGAGTGAGGCTGGGCACGCGGGGCCTAGTGTCCACGGTCCACCCTGACTTACGCTAATTTCTGCAGCTGCTCGCAGTGAAGACCATGTTCGATGAGCTTGCAGATGCCTCGGTCTGAGATATTGTTGTCTCGCAAGCTATAGAAGACAAATAAATTTGAAAGTGGAGCTGATAACAAAGGGAGAAAAAAATGAACAACCTCCCCAAAGAAATGGCTACAAGGACTGAGTGCCCAGGAAAAATGGAGACTCCCCCCATCCCTGGCCAGGGGGCTGACCGGTACACTATGGTGGGGAACAGCCCAGGAAGTAGAGCCCCAGAGCCCCACTAAAGAACCCTGGAATCCTGGGGGAAGCCACTGATCATTTCCATCACTGTAAAAGAGAGATTGGTGGTTCAGTGGTAGAATTCTTGCCTTCCACGCAAGAGACCCGGGTTTGAATCCCCCCAATGCACCTCATGTGCAGCCACCACCCACTTGTCAATAGAGGCTTGTGTGTTGCTATGATGCTGGAAAGGTTTCAGTGAAGCTTCCAGACCAAGACTAGGAAGAAAGGCCTGGCGCTCTACTTCTGAAAATCAGCCAATGAAAACCTTACGGATCACAATAGTCGGATCAACTGATCATGGGGATGGCACAGATCCTGGCAGTGTTTCATTCTATTGTGGCTGGAGTCAGCATGAGTCAGAGGCCATCTCCATGGCAGTTAACAATAACAACAAACGGGAGATGTGATCATAGCAGCTTCAGGAGGTTCTGAGGTGGGAATGAGCTGATATGCAGGAAAGGTGCCGTGGGAATTAGACAGGGTTACCCTGGGGGCAGAGCTCACTTGGCCCAGTGGTTAAGAGCTCAGCTGCTAGCCAAAAGGTCAGCAGTTTGAATCCACCAGCCTCTCTCTGGAAACCCTATGGGGCAGTTCTACTCTGTCCTGTAGGGTCCCTACGAGTCGGAATCGACTCGACGGCATTGGGTTTGGTTTTGGTTTTGGTAGTACCCTGGGGGTAATGGTGGTTATCACTGTCTAGGTGAGCAGGTGTCAGACCAGCTGGACGAGAGTGGCCAAAACTTCGGAAATTAGCATGCAGGCTGTGCTTAACGAAGCCCTCCTGGCCAGCCCTGTCCCCCTCTTGACATCACTGCGGCAGGCCACACCCAGCCCAGCAAGCACGCTCTGCCGCTCCTCTTAGGAGATGACAAGATCATGGGGAAGCTCCCCTCTCCTGGAGATGGTGATTCCATGTGTGTGGGGTGGGGCCCAGGGATCTCTATTTGTTAACAAAAGTGCACACGATTCTTATCTTCAGACAAACGTGGGAGACCCTGACTTAACGGCTAGTAGCCCAGGCTGTGGAGTCCCTCAGCTGGAAGTTCTGACCCTGGGCAGTCACTTACTAGCTATCGGCTGGCTCCTCCATCTGCAAAAAGGGAACAATAGTATTACCGACCTCAAGAGGCAGTGCACATCAGGCACCGTGAGCACCTGGCGCCTGGGAAGAGCTACCTGTAAGCAGGATCGCTGGCATCTACTGAACATTTTATGCGCCAGGCACTGTCTTAAGCACTTCACAAATCACCCATCACCATAGAGTCGATTCTGACTCATAGAGAGCCTATATGATGGAGGAGAACTGCCCCATGGGGTTTCCAAGGCTGTAAATCTTTACAGAAGCAGACTGCCCCATCTTTCTCCCTCGGAATGGCTGGTGGGTTCGAACCACGGACCTTTCTGTTAACAGCCAGCACTTAACCACTGCCCCACTGGGGCTCCTGGTACTTCACAAACAGTAACCTTATTCAATCCTCACAACTCCATGTAGCAGGTACTATTATCATGTGTCTTACAGAGAAGAAAACTGAGGCACAGACAAGTGACGTGACTTGGGAAAGGTTACACAGCAAGCGAAGGATTCGAGCCTGGGCAGGCTGTCTCCAAATCCCACTCCTGACCACCACATTAATCTGCCTCTAGCTTATAGCTTTTTACTAGCCTTCCAGAGCACTGTTTTTCAGACCATGGGTAGTGACCCCCTGAGGAGCCCTGGTGGTGCAGTGGTTAAGGTGCTTCCCTGCCAACCGAAAGGTCAGCAGTTCAAAACCACCAGCAGCTCTGCAGGAGAAAGATGTGACAATCTGCTTCCGTAAAGATTTACAGCCTTGGAAACCCCATGGGGTCACAACGAGTCCGAATCGACTCACCAGCAATGGGTTTGCTTTTGTTGTTTGGAGTGAGTCATGAAGTCAATTTTGAAGGTCCTGAGCAGTATTTGTTTTAAATGAAATGGAACAGAAGTGAAGAGCACAGTGTATCAGAGGTAATGACGCAATGTCATCTCATGAAGCTTTAGTTTCAGTTTTACATGAATTCTCTCTCTCACTGTGGGATGCAGTCAAAAAACTTTGAAAACCACCACCCTAGAGTCAGACCCGGGGTCTAAAGAAACCTATATAGGGGTGGGTACCTGCATATGGAGTTTCCTGGAGGCTGAGGATTTCGGTTGGCATGGAAACAGTTCAAGTGGGAGAGAAGCAGCTTAGTGCTGTGGGAGAGCAGTCTCTCCCTCTCTCTGTCTCTGCCTCTCTCTCACGCACACACACAGGAAGTGCCCACACAGCAACCCTGTGGTTGCTTCTGCCAGCCCCCTGCCGTGGCATCGGCAGTTCCACTGTGCGTAGGTGTGTAGAACCTGGTCAAGGACTTCAGCTGCTGCTGACAAACCTAGCTGGTCCAGGCACACCCGTCTCCGCTGGACCACTTACATCAGAATCACCGGCGATGTTTGTTAAAAACACAGATTCCAGGGCCCCCACAACAGACCAACTGAATGGGAATCACTGGGGGGGCCAGGCCCAAGAATCTGCATCTCAACAAGCACCTTTGCGCTCTATAGTCTGAGAACCGTGAATGAGGACCACCATCCTCACCTTACCCTGAAACAGAGACTAACCACAGCCTCTGCCCAGCCTTTCTGCACGCCGTGGGGCGTCACATGAGCATTCCTAATCCAGGAGGGATGATCCTCTCAAGAATTCCAGGGGTGGACTGGCTTCTGAGACTCATCTAGGCCAGGGGCTCCTGGCCTCTTGGGCTTCAGGGACCCCTTGGAGAACGTGGTGGAAACTATGAATCCACTACCCAGCAAAATACACATTCACATTTTTATCAGGAAAATAGCCCCTACAGACAGGTCTCAGAATTCCCAAGTCAAAATATCGCGATTCTTCCTTCTTAAAGAAACAAGAGCATCCTGCATCTTCCGTTGGCCCCACCAGGCCCGCTCTCCCTCTTCCTCCCTGGCTCTCTGTCCTGGAGGCTGACCCCGTGGACCACGTCTCTGGCTCCCTGTGGGTTTAGGCATCAGCAGGAGACAGGAGGAGCGGCAGAGTGAGGGCTTTACTGCCCCAGATCTTCACTTCCAGGTTGCCGCAGCCACAATTCTGTCAGGCAGCGTTCTCCATGTCTTCCTCTCGGGGTTCTAACCACCACTCCCATTCTCCCCCTGCCCCGATGACCACCCCAGGGCCCTGCACCGTTCCTCTGTGCTCTTCCCACTCCTGTCCACAGCTTTGCTGGCAGTCCCTTGTAACCAACTCGCCTCAAATTATCCAATTTCAGTGTGTCACGTTTCCTCCAAGCCCCTGACTGGAATATTTATAGTCTATTATATAGTATGCTAATTACCTGCAATATCTATATTAATTATTTGTAATATGGAGTCCCTGGGTGGTGCAAATGGTTAACATGCTCTGCTGCTACCCAAAAGGCTGGTGGTTCAAGTCCACCCAGAGGCACCTTGGAAGAAAGGCCTGGCAATCTACTTCTGAAAAACCAGCCATTGAAAATCCTTTGGAGCACAGTTCTACTCTGACACACGTAGGGTCACTATGAGTTGGAACTGACTCCATGGCAACAGGGTTGGTTATATATATTATGTTATTATTTGCTCCGTAAAGTAGAGGGTCAGCGAAAAAGAGGATGACCCTCAACAAGATGGACTGACACAGTGGCTGCAACAATGGGCTCAAACATAGCAATGACTGTGAGGATGGCTCAGGACCGGGCAGTGTTTGTTCTGTTGTACACAGGGTTGCTATGAGTTGGAACCAACTCAATGGCACCTAACGACAACAACAATATTATTATTACATTATAAAGTTATGATCATGGTTCCTATTTAGGGGATAACAGTTTCTAGCAGATATCCATGTGTTCGCTGCTTTACCCCAGAGAATGTATGTCATGCTAATATAATCAGGAAGTCTGTCCCTTGTTTAGAACAAAATAAGGTTGTCTAGGGTAGACTACAAGCCCTGGGAGGCTGTGAGTAGATATCAACTCTTAGCTACAACTTCTGCTTTCTCAGAGGTTACAGACAGGGAGCAGGACATACCCTTTCGAGGCTGGCAGAGAAACTGGGGAGCTGGGCTTGCTCTCTGCCCTGCCCGCCCCAAGATATGCTGGGGAACAGACGTTCCAAAGGGTGAAACCTCTTCAGACAGGAAGCGGAAAGTAGCACGGATAACGCCACAGTCTTGTCTCACACTGCGCTAGGTAAGAAATCAAAGGTCAGGTTCAACTCCACAGCCACTTTCTCTTTCTTACATCAAAACCAAACCAAATCGGCTGTCATCGGGTCAGTTCTGACTCATACCAAGGGTTTCCAAGGAACAGGTGGTGGATTCAACCTGCTGACCTTTTGGTTAGCAGCCGAGCTCTTAACCACTGCACCACCGCGGCTCCTCCTCTCTCTCAGCTTCCTGAAATTCCCACCACAATGGGATTTTAAAGTCTCGGATAGGGCACGAGTCACCTCTGACCTGGCGTAGATCCTAAGACAGTCACTTATTACACAAAACTGTGCGTGTGACTTCAGGGTTGACACAGAGTCCCTGAAGCCCGTCCACAGATCACAGGTGACTTGAGGGGAGCAGGGAGCCTGTAACCATAAAGATGTGATTTTCAAATCCTGGCTCTGCGGTTTCCCACGTGACCCTGGACAGGTTACTTCACTTCTCTGAGTCTCACACTGGGGATACCCGTCGCTGTCAAGTCAATTCCGACTCACGGTGACCGCTCGCGTTACAGAGTAGAACTGCTCCATAGGATTTTTCTTGGAAAATCCTTACAGAAGTAGATCAGCAGGCCTTTCTTCCACAGCACCATTAGGTGGGTTTGAACTGCCAGCCTTTAGGTTAGTGGTGGTGGTGGTGTTGTTAGGTGCCGTCCAGTTGGTTCTGACACATAGCAGCCCTACGCACAACAGAAAGAAATACTGCCCATTCCTGCGCCATCCTCACAATTGTTGTTATGCTCCAGCCCACTGTTGCAGCCACTGTGTCAATCCATCTCGTTGAAGGTCTTCCTCTTTTTCACCACTGACCTTCTTCTTTACCAAGCATGATATCCTTCTCCAGAGACTGATCCCTCCTAATAACATGTCCAAAGTATGTGAGACGTAGTCTCGCTATCCTTGCTTCTAAGGAGCATTCTGGTTGTACTTCTTCCAAGACAGATTAGTTCATTCTTTTGGCATTCCATGGTATATTCGATATTCTTCGCCAACACCACAATTCAAAGGCGTCAATTCTTCTTTGGTCTTCCTTATTCGTTCTCCAGCTTTCGCATGCATATGAGGCAACTGAAAACACCATGGCTTGGTTCAGACGCACCTTAATCCTCAAGGTGACACCTTTGCTTTTCAACACTTTAACGAGGTCTTTTGCAGCCGATGTGCCCAATGCAATGCATCTTTTGAGTGCTTGACCGCCTCTTCCATGGGCATTAATTGCGGATCCAAGTAAAATAAAATCTTTGACAACCTCCATCTTTTCTCCGTTTATCATGATGTTGCTTATTGGTCCAGTTGTGAGGATTTTTGTTGTCTTTATGTTGAGGTGTAATCCATACTGAAGGCTGTGGTCTTTGATCTTCGTCAGTATGTGCTTCAAGTCCTCTTCACTTTCAGCAAGCAAGGTTGTGTCATCTGCATAACGCAGGTTGGTAGTCAAGTGAAAACTGTTTGTGCCACCCAAGGACCTACACTGAGGACAATGGGGACAATAATACCCCTGCCGACAGCCCAGGGTGGTTGTGGAGATTAAAAGAGATAATTCTAGAAGTGTGTAGCACCAAGCCTCGCACACAGGATATGTTCAATAAATCAGATATCGTTATCACCCACTACCCATCTGTCCATTTGTCATACTATGGTGGCTTGCATATAGCTATGATGCTGGAAGCTATGCCAGCAGTATTTCAAATACCAACAGGGTCACTTACAACCCAGACTAGGACAGACAAGGAAGAAAGGCCTGGAAATCTACTCCAAAAAATTAGTCAATGAAAACCTTATGAATTACAACCGAATATTGTCCAACTGGTTTGCTTTGGACATGTCGTCCAGAGGGATCGATCCCTAGAGAAGGATATGGTGTCTGATGAAGTAGAGGGCCGGCGAAGGCGAGGGAGACCCTCAGGGAGACGGATTGGCACCATAGCTGCCATGATGGACTCAAACACGGCAGCGAGTGAGGATGACGCAGGAGCAGGCCATGTTGCCTTCTTTTGAACATCAGGTCATCATGAGCTGGCAGTGACTCGATGGGAGTAAACAACACTGTTATCACATGATCAACTCAAAGGCAGCTAACAACAACACCGGACAGTGGGAAAACGAAGGCCCAGACTAGGGACGGCCCAGTCTGGCCCAGAGAAGGGGTGGCACAGCTGGGTGGGGCTGGGGGGGGTCTCCCAGATCCCAGCTCAGTGCTCCAGCGCTCCCCCGCTCAATAGTGGCACTCCCGCTACACCCTGCTGGCATCACCCAGCAACACTCACTAGAGAGCTTTGCAGACACTCAGGCAAGGCAGCAGCTGCTCCACGCCGATGTCACCCACGGAGTTGTGGTCCAGCTGCAGGGCCACAGGCCGCCGGAGGTGCTGTAGTGCAAAGGCCAGGGCGGCACACTCAGCGGGGCCTACGCCGCAAAATGTCAGCTTCAGGTGCTCAACTTCCAGCCCACGCACGGCCTCCTGGGCCAGCTGCTCCTCCTGCATCTCGTACAGGCTCCGGATGAGCCAGAGGAAGCCGGGCAGGGCGTGCATGCTCTTGGCCTCACCCCGCACGGCAGGCGGGATGGAATGGAAGTGCTTGCGGAGGCTGCGGGCCAGACACCACCGGGCACAGGCGTGGCGCCGGAGCAGGGCCTTCTTGGACACCTGGCACTCGGTCAGCAGGCCCCGGTGCTCCCGGGACAACAGCCCTGCTAGAAAGGCTGCCGTGATCTGGAGGTTGTGCGGCTCGGCCTTCTGCAGCCAAGCCGCCACGCTGTCCTCCTTGCGCTCAGAGTGCTGGACGCACAGTGCAGGCAGCAGCCTGGCCAGCGGGGAGCTGCCTGACCTGCAGCAACTGAAGAGGTGTCTGAGCGTGGTGGGTGGCAGGTCAGAACTTAATACAAGGTAAAACGCGGCAAAAAAGCACTGAAAAGTGATGTGCAAGAACTCCAGGGGTGCCGAGCTCCCCAGCACGACGCTTTTGGCACGCACCAGGAAGCCCAGAGAAATGTCGTCGGTGTCCACCTGTGCTGCCTGGAGCTGCTTGGCTGAGAACACATAGCAGCAGGTGCCCAGGCCCCAGAGAGCCAGGTGGCCAAGATGCAGGAGCGTGGGGAGCCTGCCTCGAAGGAGGCTGGGTCCCAGGCCACGGCGATCTGTGTCCGGTGGGGCGGCATGCAGCAGAAAGTGCTGCAGGATCAGCAGGTACATGTCCGTGGTGGTCTTGAAGGAGCCCCCACCCTGCAGTAACAGCTCCTGGTGGCATTTGGACACAATCCATGAAAAGACAGGAAGGTGGCACAGACCATGCAGGGCTGAGGTCGCTTTGAGCAGGCAGACGAGGCGGTCGGCCACCCCAGGCTCCCGATGGTGTTTCCGCATATACAGCTCGATGCCCTCCTCCGAGAAGCCCTTGAGGTTGAGCTCCCTGCAGACATATTTCCTGAGGAGCGCCGTCACTGCATCCGGGCGGCTCGTCAGCACCTTGCGGGCATTCTTTAGCAGGTTGCCCTGCAGAAGGTTGAAAAGCAGATTCTGCACAGACGTGGGGTCGGTTGGAGAGCAGTGGCGCTCCCCATCAGTGAACCTGAACCTGAACTCGTCAAAGCCATCGAAGGTCAGCAGCACGCGGTCAGGGTGATCAAGGAGGAACTGGAAGATGTCCTGTTGGCCAACGTCGGGCCAGCAGCAGTGCTCAAAGAGCAGCGTCCGTACGGACAGTGGTTTTGCCACACACTGCAGCTGCCGGCAGCTGAACGGGAAGACGAAGAGAAACTCCTGGAAGTCCCGGCCGGCAGCCCACAGGAAGTGCAGCTGCTGCAGGAGTGTGCTCTTGCCGCTGCCCGCCTCGCCCACCATCAGCACAGTGTCTGCGTCTTCATTGAGACAGCCGCGGGGGCTGAAGAGCTCCTCGAGGCCCAGGGTGGCCGGGCTCTGCTGAGAAGGTCCAGCCATGCTGATATTGGTCCGCACCTCCAGGACATTCTCCGTGTATATGTCTTCTAGGCAAAGGTTCTCTGACCCATCATAGGTACTCAGGAAGCGGGACTGAGCAGATACCGTGGCCTTCAGCTTGGACATGTACTTCTTACATGCAGCATCTGGGAGAGAGGAAAAGGCAAATGAGCGGGTCCATGTTCAACACGGGACCTGGCCAGAGAGTGGACTGCACTGGGAAACGCAGGTGCCCGTCCCGGCTCCTCCACTCAAAAGCTGCGGGACTTTGCAGCTAGTCACGTAACCTTTTTAAGCTTCAGTCTGCTCACCTGTAGAGTGGGGGAAATGATGGGCCCTACCTTATAAGGTTTTTACATGGATCGGTTAAGATAATCGATGTCAAGTGCTGAATCACTTGGTGGTGCAAATGGTTAATATACTCGGTTGCTAACAACCCAAAGGTTGGAGGTTTGAGTCCACCCAGACGCACCTTGGAAGAAAGGCCTGGCGATCTACTTCTGAAAAATCAGCCATTGAAAACCCTTTGGAACACGGTTCTGCTCTGACACACATGGGGTCGCCATGAGTCATAGTCCACTTGACGGCAACTGGTTAGTGGTTTCTGGTTATGTCAAGGGCTCAGCACAGTGCGCACCACTAAGTAAGTGCTCAAAAGAACTTAGCTACTGTTATTATTATTACTAACACCAGGAGCAGCTATAGAAGATTGAAGGGAGCACTGGGCTGGGGGTCAGAAGACCTGTGTCTGAGGTCTGTCCTGTCACGTTGATTGATAAGTCCCCTCGCCACTCAGCCTCAGCTGCCTCTTTTGAAAGAGGAGCAGAAGGTTTAAGGGCTTAGGAGCCTAGTTTCTGAAGTCAAACACATCTGAGTTTGAAACCCGGGTGCAGCATTAACTTGGACAAGCCACTTAACGTTGCTGAGCTTCAGTTTTCTTATACACATAAGATGGGGATAATGACAGTACCCACCTTGCAGGACTGTTTCAGGAGGAAATAAGGTAGAGTATAGAAGAATGCCTGACACATAGTAAGCTCTCAATACCCACTCAAACCCACTGCCATCAAGTCGATTCTGACTCATATCAACCCTGTAAGACAGAGTAGAACTGCCCCCTAGGGTTTCTAAGGCTGTAAATCTTTACAGAAGCAGGCTGCCACATCTTTCTCCCATGGAGCGACTGGTGGGTTCACACTGCTGACCTTTCGGTTAGCAGCCCAGGGCTTTAACCACTGCCCCACCAGGGCTCCCTAAGCTCTCAATACATAGTGCTTTATAATCATTATTATTAATGGGTGTAGTAGGTAGACTACTGGACCCCCAAAGACGTCCACATCCTAATCCCCAGGACCTATGAATATGTTACCTTACATGGCAAAAGGGACTTTACAGATGTGATCAAGTTAAATGAGATGGAGAAACTATTCTGGATTATCTGTGTGGGCCCAATGTAATCACAAGAGGGAGGCTGGAGAGAAGAGTCAGTGGTGACTGTGGAAGAATGGCACAGAGAGATGCAACTTTGCTGGCTTTGAAGATGGAGGAAGGGGGCCAGGAGCCAAGAAATGTGGGTGGCCTCTAGAAGTTCAAAAGGGCAAGAAAACAGATTCTCCCCTAGATCCCCCAGAAAGGAACACATTCCCACCTACACCTGGTTTTATCCCAGTGAGACCTGTGTCGGATTTCTAACCTACGGAACTGTAAGAACGAATTCGTGTTGTTTAAGCCCGAGTTTGTGGTAATTTGTTACAGCAGCAATACAGAACTAATACAATGGGGGATTCATTGAGAGAATGAATCATATAAAATGAGAATGGATTATATAAAAGTTAATTGTAATTTCATTGTAAGTATAACTAGAATGATAAAATATTATTACCAGGCTAGTAATAATAGTAGGAGTAAGAATCTCAAATGGGTTCAGAATTGATGAGAGTGGATGACTAGGAATCCCAGGTTTCCCACAGGTTCAAGAACTCCTAACACAAGCTCAAACTAGAAGAACATGCAGAGAGAAAGCAGGGTAGCACAGGCCTCAAACTGGCTGCCCATGGACCACTCCAATCCCAAGTCATATTGTATTTGGCACGTAGAGTACTTTTTCAAAATTTCACTTAATTGCTAACTTTTAAAAACCATGGTGTTATGGGTTGAATTGTGTCCCTCCCCCACCAAAAAATATTTTGAAGTTGTAACCTCTGGTATCCATAAATTTGACTTTGCTTGGAAATAGGGTCTTTGAATATGTTATTAGTTAAGCTAACATGAGATCACACCAGAAGAGGGTGGGCCCTAATCCTATCTGAGTGATGTCCTTCTAAAAGGGGAGAATAGACAGAGAGACAGAGGAAGGAGTCCATGTGACAGTGCAGCTGCAAGCCAAGGAACTCTTGGAGCTACAGGAAGCTAGGAGACAGGTATAGAACAGATTCTCCCTCAGAGCCCTCGGAAGGAATCAACACGGCCGACACCCTGATCTTGGACTCCCAGCCTTCAGAACTGAGAGACAATAAATTTCTCAAAGAACTTTATTGTGCCACCCAGTTAGCTTCCCAGCCCTAAGAAACTAAGACACATAGATTTCCCATATGAATCTTAATCTAAGTTTCTCTTAGGAAAAAAAGAGGTAAGATCTGGCAATGCTGAGACCACACACCCAGATGGCATCATTGCCAGTTGCCAAGGCTCTCCAGTTTGCCTCAGTCCCAACCATTTATACTTCCTGCTGGCCTCTGGATGGAACCTCAAAGATCATCTGAGTCTTCACGTCTCAGGAATTGAGCAGGAGACTCAGGTTCAGGGAGGGGAAGGGACTTGCCAAAGTCACACGGAGTGGTGGGTGGCAGGCGGCCAGCAGAGCCTGGGCCGTCACACTAGGGCTCCTCCCCTCAGCCAGCCTCTTCTGAGTCCTGCTAACAGGTTATCTTTCTGCAGTCCTGGATGCTAATCTCAGCTGACAGCTGCCCATGGAAGGCCCTGGCCAAACACCCATTAAGTGAGAAGGAGTCCCAAAGGGATTGGAACTGAGGCCCGGCACTGGATGGCCTCAGGGTCACCCAGGTGCCCAGGCTGAGCATTCAGACAAGATTCCCTGATCCTGTCTCCACTTCTCCATCCTCCTCATGCAATCCTCTCCAGCAAGAGTTCTCATAAACAGGGTGTGTCTAGATGCTGCTTTTCCTTTACCATCTTGATACCAACATGAGCAAGCTGCTTCCTGTGACGGGGTTCAGTTCCTCTTTCAGGAAATGAGGAAGCACTAGTCCAGAGTCCCAGGGTGGTGAGACCTCAAGGCATGGCCCATCATAGGTCTCAGTGTCCCAGCCAAGTACTAAACTGGGCCCACCTGGCCCACTTGTCCTCAGTTGCCCTTGAGTTGACTTTGACTCATGGCAACCCCGTGTGTGTCAGAGTAAAATTGTGCTCCACAGAGTTTTCAATGGCTGATTTTTCAGAAGAAGATTGCCAGGGCTTTCTTCTGAGGAGCCTCTGGGTGGACTGGAACAGCCAAGCTTTTGGTTAGCAGCCGAGCGCATTAACTGTTTGCACCACCCAGCATCTCCCAACTTAAAGGCCACCAAGTAACTTCCACAGATGGCTCTTAGCATATCAAAGCTATGTTTACAAAAAAGAGATGCCCTGTGTTTGTGCTTCCTGTTTGTTCCCAGAGCTGATGATCACTGCTGCTTTTACTGCTCTCTGGATATACCAGGGGTACTAACCAGCGACCATAAAATATATACCTTCCTCTCCAGTGTCCTGATTTCCAATGCAGGTTTCCCAACCATCACTGATGATATCAAAACTTCGTGAAAACTTCTCTCTCATTTTAAAAACAATAAACACATGTCAATCATCACCTTTAAAAGTGTAGGGAATCTTGCAGCATGTCACGGTGTTACCGTGCCCAAATGGCCAGCTCTGCTGGTTGATATCAACAGCAGATATTCTCCAAGTCTATCAGCCCCGGTCCTGTGCGTGGGGCTGCGCATCCCTGCCACGCACTGATATCTTCCATTCTTACACGAGTTAGTGCACATTCTGCTGCCAAGCATAGGCTTCCAGCCATACCTCCCCTCACCCCTCTCTGGCCTGCTCGCTGCCTAGAGGGCAGGGCTCAGGGTGATAAATCCATGTGCCAGCACCATGCACAGCTCAGGGGCCCTCCATACTGATAAGCTTGGCTTACAATAGCATGGAAGGGAGGCTCGGAATGCCAGGCTGTTACCCTACATTTATAACTGAAGAGTCCTTCTTCCAACAAAAGAGAAATGCATCCAGTCTAAAATCAGACCCATCTGCCTCTACCTTGTCATTTAACCTCCCAGCCTCAGTTTCCGCATCTGTAAAGTGGAGATAACAACGCCTACTTCTTGGGGTTGTTGCAAAGGGCAGTAATGTCTGCTATGTACAGTGTGGTATGCTACCCAAGCCTCTCCTGTTCCTGGGTCTGGATGGTGATCATGGGCATGGAGGGATACCATGTTATCTAAATTCATTTGGTTTTTGAGCTCCTAATGGTGAGTGACTAATTTCAGAGAATGAGAAACACCAGCCCTATCTCAAAAAGTGAATCTACTGGTCTCTACTCATCCAGAACAAAAGAGAAAGAAGGAAACCAAAGACTCAAAGAAGAACTTAGTCTGCAGGAGAAATAGTCTACACGAACCATGGCCTCATCTACCCTGAGACCAGAAGAACTAGATGGTGCCCTACTGACCATTCTGATTAGGGTCACAACAGATGGACAATGATAAAATAGAAGAAAAATGTGAAAGAGAATCTCAAATTCCTAAAAAAAAAAAAAAAAAAAAAAAAAAAAAACAGACTTACTGGACTAGTTGAGACTGGAAGACTCCCCAGGACTATTACCCTGAGATACAAATCAAACCTTGAACTGAAATTAACCCATGAGGTCATCTTATAGCTAAATAACAAATGGGCTCAAAAAATAATGACTATCACTCGTGAGTACTGTGCACTTTTAGACAATCACCTATATGAGACCAAACAGTCAACAATTACTTTAAAATAAAGATAAGAATGTAAGGGGGCAGGGAAATGAGATTAATGAAAATGCAACAACCAGAACAGCAATAATGAGGAATGTTCACGTATTGTGAAGAATGTAACCAATGTCACTGAACAATTTGGGTAGAAATTGTTGAATGGGAACCTAAACTGCTGGGTAAACCTTCACTGAAAACACAATACAATATTCTTTTTTTCAAAAAAAGTGTTTTATCTACATCTTTTCAGTATGGATAATGAGAATTTAGATAACAAGGAAGCCAGCAGACAGCCTTTTAATAATACACGGTGGCTCCAATTATCATTACATAGTGTGGACAGTAATAAACGCTAATAAAAAACCCAACCCAACCCATTGCTGCTGAGTCGATTCCCACTCATGGTGACCCCCATGTGTCACAGAGTAGAACTGCTCCATAGGGTTTTCTTGGCTATAATCTTTACAGAAGCAGAGCTCCAGGACTTTTTTCTGTGGTGCTGCTGGGTGGGTTTGAACTGCCAAGCTTTTGATTAATAGCAAACCGTTTGTTTACCCAGGGACCTATAGTAAGAGCTAATAACCCCATAACCCATTGCTGTCGAGTCAACGCCGACTCACAGCGACAGCTAACGTTAAATGCCTTCAACCTTTGAATCCTCCCAAGAGCCCAATGAGACAGGTGGTATTATCCTTAAAGTGAGGAAGCTGAGTCTCAGGGGTTTGGCACAGCCAGAGAGAGGAATCTAACTGACACATCTCTCACTGTGGAGTTTTCGCTCTTACCCATGAATCTGTCTGTACAGCCTTCCTTCCCCTTTCCGATAAACTGAGAAGAACACACACATACCTTTGAAAGGCAGGGCCGACGGGACTGGTAATTCCTGAACGTGTTGTAGAAGAAAGGCAGCTAATCCATTGGCCTTCACTGTGGCAAGATCCAGCAGCCGTCTTGCCTATGGGAAAATCAAACGCAGCGGTTTTTCCAGAAAGGCTAATAGAGGCGTGGGAAGGTTTTACTGATGACTATAAATTCAGAGACATCACTCTTCCACCCCAATAAAATGACAGGAAAACAACCAGTGATATGAACTTAATGAAGTTAATACAGTATTGGATGGCGACTTGAACACAGACTTTCAATCTGGTGCCCTGGTGAAACCCGTTAAAACAGTGACTGATTTTCTTTAAAAAAAAAAGACATAAAGCTACGAGGATAGAACAGGAGAGGCGGTAACAGCAATAGAATTCTGGAAGCTGGAAATCACTGGAAGAAGGATGTTTCATTCAGTCTCACGGCTTGAAATATCATCTCTCGAACTTGCATCTCCAGCCCGGACTGCTCCCCTCAACCCTGGACTTGCTAACTCTGTGCTTCACAAACATCTTGAACTTAATTTATCCAAACCTGAACTCCTAACCTCCCCGCCTACACACACATCAAACCTACAGCCTTCCTCATCTCAGCTAATGTAAACTTTGGCCCTCCAGTTACTCAGCCCCAAAATTTTGGCGTGGCCCTTGAGGTCTCGCCTCTGCAGTCCGTCAGCAAATTCTGTTGCCTCCACCTTCAAGGTGTATCCAGAACAGCAGAGTCCCATAGAAATACAACACGAGACACAAATGCAAGACGTGTTTAATTTTAAAGCTTCTAATAACCATTTGCCGTGGAGTCAATCCTGACTCATGGCGACCCCACGTGTGTTGGAGTAGAACTGTGCTCCATTGGGTTTTCAATGGCTGATTTTTTTGGAAGCAGATTGCCAGGCCTTTCCTCTGAGGCGCCTCTGGGTAGACTTGAACCTCCAACCTTTAGATTACCAGCCAGGCGCGTTAGCTGTTTACCCCCCAGGGACTCCAATTGTTCTAATAGCTGCCTTTAAAAAAAGTTAAAAAAAAAAAGTTGCAATTATGTTTAACAATACTTTTTGTTTAACCCAATATATCCAACATATTATCATTTCACTTTGTAATCAACATAAAAAAATTAATGAAATATTTTACGTTTCTTTTCTCTTTCATACTAAGCCTTCAACATCTGGTGTGTGTTTTGCACTTACGGAATCTAGGTATAGACCAGCTGGTGGCGTCTGTACTGGATGCATAGCTAGAGAACCCCACCACTTCCACTTCTCATCACTCCCTCTACTACCACCCTGGTCCAAGCCACCATCATGGCTCATCTGGAAAACTGCAAACAAAGGCCACTGGTCAAGTCCAACAGTAACCTACAAGGACCAAAGCAGACTATAACCCGTCTGTAACCGTGTGCACCCCAGTTACTTCTCTAACCTCACCTCTTGCTCCTCTTCCCCTTGCTCATCCACGGAGCACACTGGCCTCCTTGTTTCTAGAATACACCAGGCACCTCTGGGCCTTTGCCTTGGCCGTTCCCTCTGCCAGCATTTCTCTCCCTTCACCTCCTCCATGCCTTTGCTCAAATGTCACCTTCTCCGTGAGGGCTCCCTGATTACTCTATTTAAAATTGCAATCACTTGCAACCCCCCCGGCCAGCTCTCAACCCTCAAGCCCCACTCTATTTATTTTCTACAGCACTTATTGCCTTCTGATGCCTTCTGACATACTCTGTAATTTGCTTCCTCTTGCTTACTGTCTATCTCCCCCAGCGGAACATTAGCATCTCCAGGGCAGGCAAGTTGGCCTCTTTTGTTCCCTGCTGTATCCCCAGCACCCAGAAGAGAGCCTGGCACAGAGGAGGCGCTAGGGACTTGCTGGGTGAATGACTGAATGCTAACGGACTTAGAAGACCCCAGAAAGCCAAGTCCTAAGCCAGCAATGGAGAAGCTGAAAACCGCCCAATGTATGTCCCAAAATCTGTAAAAGACTGGAACCACCAGCATCCAGTACCTCTAGAATGGAAGGAAATGACTAAAATAAGGAGGACCGGGTCAAAGTGGTTTACGAAAACGATCTCTAGTTTCCCTCCCCCACTCTAAGCCACTGGCAACTGCCTCTGGCCCATCATGGCAAAAGTCTGGAAATTGATGTTCTAGAAAGGGTAAAACAGAGGCTTCCCAGACTGTGAGACACTGGACACAATTAAGGAGGCAAGTGTTGTACCCAAAACAGAGGGTTTAAGTGACTACGGTGGCACCGTGGTTAAGAGCTACGGCTGTTAACCAAAGGGTCAGCAGTTTGAATCCACTAGTCGCTCCATGAAAACCCTATCGAGCAGTTATACTCTGTCCTATAGGGTCGCCATGAGTTGGAATTGACTTGACGGCAACAGGTTTACAGGTGGATGGTCATACAGCTGAGTGACCATCCTGAATAATCACTCGGCAAAATGAGTGCAGAATTCTGAAACTCCCATCACCACCATTACCACCATCCAGCCCTCTCAGCCCTCTCAGAACTCTGCAGTCAGGCCTTTACGCCGAGGCAGGAAGTTTATGAAATCTACTGTGGGAACTCAACCAACCCAGGAGAAAAGATCTAAAGATGCACACACTGCTATGTCTCAAAGTGTCTACAGTGAAACTCATGGCAGGCCAGTTTCACCTGTGTGCTCAGAGTTTCCAATTAGTTTTAAAGTTCTCCATTTCAGTCATAAGCAGACAACCAAAGATTATCCTATACCCAAAGAAAGCATCTAGTATGAGAGATAGACCAAACAAGTGGGGGAAAGGGACAAAAAGCTTATGCAAGGTGAAAAAAGTTACCAAAAAAAAAAAAAAAAAAAAACAAACAAACCTATCATTACAATCCCTAATTAAGAGAATATAAAACAAGAATAGGATACTATAATAAAGGGACATTCAAAAATACCTCTTGGAAATTAAAACCATGATAAACAAAAATGAAAAATTCAATAGAAGGGTTTAAAGATAAAATAGAGAATACCACACAGAAAGTAAAGTAAAAAGACACAGGGATAGAAAATAGAAGAGAAATATAAGAAAATTAGAGGGTCAGTCTAGAAATTATAATATCCAAGTAATAGTAGTTCCACTAAGCGAGAAGAGAGAAAGTGGAGAGGAAGAAATCATCAATAAACTAATCAAGAAAATTTCTCAGAACGTAAAGACATGGTGCCTGGTACAAAGGAAGAAAAACTAAGCACATGATTGTGAAATTTCAGAATGCTGAGGACCAAAAGAAAATTTTACAAGCTTCCAGAGACAGTTATAAAATAGTTTTTCAATTCTTAGCAGTAACATTGGAAGAAAGAAGATAATGAAGTAATGCCATCAACATGCTGAAGGAAAAGGAAATCCAACCCAGAATTCTATACCCAGCCATAGTGTCGATCAAGTGTGAAGGAACTTTCAGACACCTAAGAGCTCAGAAAAGTTAAGTCCCATACACTCGTTGTAAAGAATTTATTGAAGAATATGCTCTACCAAAGTGGGAAGAAAAAAAAAAACAAACAGGAAAGAGGAAGACATAGTAAGTACTCAGAATACAAGAGACCCAACACAGAGAACTGTGAAAGGAAATCTCAGGAAGCCGGCTGTGGGCCACCAGTCCAGATTGGAGCAGTGTGACTCAAGACTCAGGCATACTGAGGGTAGTTATCTCCACGATGCCCATGCAAGTCTGGTCTGATTTCCATCTGTATTCCGCTTGTTTCCACCACAGACTGATATCATCCCTTCCCTCAACTTTCGCTGCCTGGGTCAGCTGAGGACATTCTTTTTACCCCACAGAAGTGTTTAGTTTTGACCTACTCCTAAAAGCTGGAATAGCCTCTGGTAAGCTGAGAATTAAACATAACGAGCAGCTCACTTCCTCTCCCGGTATTCCTGCTGGACATTCAGTCCCTGACTCACACTGGCCCTACAAGAGCCTCCAACTATAGTGAGCCTTGTATTTCCCGGGACTCACTCATGGCCTTGTCACTGACTTCCCAGAAAACCCAAACCACACCCACTGCCAGTGAGTCGATTCTAACTCATAGCAAACCTTTTGGACAAAGTAGAACTGTCCCATAGGGTTTCCAAGGCTGTAATCTTTACGAAAGCAGACTGCCTGCTACATCCTTCTCCCATGGAGCACCTGGTGGGTTCAAACTACTAACCTTTTCATTAACAGCCAAGTGCTTTAACCACTGCACCACCAGGGCTCTGACTTCCCAGAAGAGGCCATTATACACTCCCAGGGAAGGTGAAGCCAGACCATGCCCCTGAGACCCTGTTCAGCTTCCCTGTTCCAGGTAGCCTTCATCTAAAAAGTGGCAATACTGCCCATTTCTTACTCAGCTACATTTGTGTATTTGTTGCTGTGTGCCAGCGAGTCAATTTCGACCAACAGCAATCCCACGTGACAGAGGAGAACTGCCCCATAGGGCTTCCTAGGCCTGTAATCTTTACAGGAGCAGATGGCCAGGTCTTTCTCCCATGGTGTCGCTTGGTGAGTTCAAACTGTCAACCTTTCATTTAGCAGCCGAGCGCTTAACCATTGGGCCACCAGGGCTCCTTGTTTGTGTATACTACTGTGTTTCAAAAGTCAACAATGTATTGTTTAGGAATTTGCTCTAAAAGTTGCTAAAACTATAAAGGAAATCAAAGGAATAATTAACACAAAATTCTGGCTAGTGGTTACCTCTGGTAGATTCAGTTGAGGAAGGACACGGGTACTGGTGGCACATCTATTAAGCACTCAGCTGCTAACTCATCAGCAGCTCCTTAGGAGAAAAGACTTGGCAATCTCTCCGGTCAAGATTACAGCCTGAGAAACCCTATGGGGCAGTTCTACTCTGTCACATAGGATCCCTATGAGTCAAAAATCGACTCAACGGCACAACAACTGGTACTGTTGTTCTATTTCTTAACCTGGGTGATAGGAACAGTTTAAACCATACATATGTGATTTATATACTCTTCCATAGGCATTGTACACTACCTGACTAAAAATGTTCAAGGTAATTATGACAGAGCCGAGCAATTCAGAACTCCATCTGACCCCTCAGTCCTATGGACTTCAGCAGTTGCGTGAGTCAAGACGGGCAGCCGGGATACCAGCTGACGTTAACAGCCTCGGGTTTCTTCACAACTGTTATGCTCAACTGAGCAAGTTCACCACTTCATGTCAGAGAGGGACAAACACAAGCTTTGGAATCAAAGAGGCCTGGATTCAAATTCTAGCTGGATCACTTCCCTTCCTAAGTCCAGTCCCTCAGTAATCTCCTACAGTCCCACATGGGTGATTTGGGCAATTTCTCCATTGTTAAATGGAGATGATGATGCTCACCTTGGAAGGCTGCTATGTGGCTTAAATGAGAAAATAACATGGAAAGGACTGAGCACAGCACCTCGTACACAGTAGGCACTCATTCGGTAAATGATGGCAATGGGTATGTCAGCATGTAGTGCTTTGATCTGCATTTTATTTCATTCCACAGCATTTTTAGCCCCCAGTGAGTCAGAATCAACTTGACGGCAATCGGTTTGGTTTTTGGGTTAATCTGCAATTCATGACAACCATCTCCTTACAGGAAATTTTAAAAGGTCAGTTTATGAGAGCATACGAGGCCATCCTGGACTGGGGGTGTATTAGTTGGATATACCACAAGTGCAACCCACAGAGCCACTGAACCATAAATTCAGCCACCCAGGGAAGGCTACCAAATCAGAGAGTCATAGAGTGCCGGAGCTCAAAGGAGAGTCAGAGAGAGCTGGATTCTAAAATCTTAACCCTTGGCCAAGTTCAGTCCCTCAATAATCTCCTACAATCCTGAGATCCTTTGTCTACCATCCTTTCTACCCATTCAGCTCAGTCCCAGGTCTCAATCTCTGCTTTTGCTGTCTACCTGGCCCTTTCTTATGATGGATTCTAAGCTAGTTAAAGTTCAGTCTTTCTTCTTTCAAATATAAGCATTTAAGGTTATAAATTTCCCTCTACAAACTGCTTTAGCTGCATCCCATAAATTTTGATGAATTATATTATCATTATTGTTTATCCTTTGCTGTCAAGTTAATTCTGACTCATAGTGACCCTACAGGACACTGCAGAACTGCCCCGTAGGGTTTCCAAGGCTGTAATCTTTATGAAAGCAGATTGTCACATCTTTCTCCCACAGAGCAGCTGGTGGGTTTGAACTGTCCACCTTTCAGTCAGCAGTCAAGTGCTTAACCACTGTGTGACCAGGGCACCTCATTATTGCTTAATTCTGAATATTCACTGATTACTATAATGATTTCTTCTTTGTTGTTAGGTGCTGTCGAGTTGGTTCTGACTCATAGCAACCCTATGTACAACAGAACGAAACACTGCCTGGTCCTGTGCCATGTTCACAATTGTTGCTATGTTTGATCTCATTGTTGTAGCCACTGTGTCAATCCATCTCATTGAGGGTCTTCCTTTTTTTCACTCACCCTCTACCTTACTAAGTATGATGTCCTTCTCCAGGGACTGGTCCCTCATGATAACATGTCCAAAGTACATGTGACAAAGTCTCGCCATCCTTACTTCTAAGGAGCATTCTGGCTGTACTTGTTCCAAGGCAGATTTGTTCATTCTGGCGGTCCATGGTATATTCAGTATTCTTCGCCAACACCATAATTCAAAGGAGTCAATTCTTCTTCTGTCTTTCTTATTCATTGTCCAGCTTTCATATGCATGTGACGTGATTGAAAATACCATGGCTTGGATCAGGCACACCTTAGTCCTCAAAAAGACATCTTTGCTTTGTAATTAACATTTTAAAGAGGTCTTTTGCAGCAGATTTGCCCAATGCAATACATCGTTTGATTTCTTGACTGCTACTTCCATGGGCATTGATTATGGATCCAAGTAAAATGAAGTCCTTGACCATGTCAAAATGTTCTCCATTTATCTCATTTTTTTCTCTCATCCATCCAGATACTTACTCTATTCATGCCCTGTCTCCTCCAGGCCCCAGAGATCTAGGCTACCTTCTCTAACCTCCTTCTGAGCATCCAGACCAGACCACACTGCTGAACACTTGATCAAAGATGACTAGACACAATCCTGTAACTTCTCCATATGGGCTGATTCGATCCGTCCAATAGATCAAGAGATATCAAGGTAGGTACACTAACTAACATGTTTTCGTAACCCCCTCGGGGCCAGGCTCAAGGAGATGGTGTTCAAGGTATAATGGCAGGTTTCAAGTGCACTACGGAGCCATGGTGGAGCACTGGTTAAGCGCTCGGCTGCTAAATGAAAGGGCGGTAGTTTGAACCCACCCAGAGGCTCCGTGGGAGAAAGATCTGGAGATCTGCTCCCATAAAGATTACAGTCTAGGAAACCCTGTGGGGCAGTTCTACTCTGTCACATGGGGTCACTAGGAGTTGAGGACTTGACCACACCTAACAATAATTAACAGGGACCATACCATGTCTGCTCTATAAATAGCCACCTCGAGTGAGTTTTAAGACAGTCTTGTAGGTAGATTGACTTAGTCCATCAGCCTCAACCTATTACCTAGACTCACTTGAATACCAAATATCTTTTTAAAAAATGGACCAAAATAAAAACTAGAAAGTAATCCAACCCAGCCCATCCTAACATTGCAATGTCATTCCAACTCAATAATTTATTCATTCAAGAACCCATTTATTTAATCAACAAATATTTACCACGTACAAAGTACTCTGAGCACAAAAAAGGCTTAAAGACAGAGCCTGGTGTATAGTAGGCACCTAATAGATTCTTCCCAAATGAATGAATAATTAATGAGAAATGAATGAGTTGTGGCAGTAGGTCCAGCACCAGGCCTCCCATTAACTACTGTGAGCTTACCCAAACCACTTCTCTGGGCCTGTTTCCCAATCTGTAAAGTGGGATGTTAATTCTTGCTCCATCCGCATCACCGGAGGCCTGAGGCTCACTGATGTACAATGTGTTTGGACAAAAATAAAACAGAGAGTTTTAAAAACACCCAGCAGACACTCTTCTGTTCTTGTGGTCTCTGCTGCATCATTACTTTTCAGGCGCAGTTATATCCCAGTGCCGAATGTCTATGATCTAATGCAATCTCATGTCAGAAATCCGATGTGGACATTTAAACTCCATTAGTATATAGTGTGTTATATTAATTATTAAATATGGATTTTACATAACGAAGTGGTATAATCCGTTGAGTGGTTAATTTAAAACACACAGCAGTAAAGGTGTACAAGTGCAGACTGTCACTCTTCACAGAAATAGTAGCAGCCAATCCCAATGAATATTTACTATGTGCCCCAAACCCTGGTGGCCCAATGGCTAAGCGCTCAGCTACTAACCAAAAGGTTGGCAGTTTGAAACCACCCAGCAGCTCTGCAAGGGAAAGACCTGGCAATCTGCTTCCATAAAGATGACAGTCAAGAAAACCCTATGAGGCAGTTCTACTCTTTCACATGGGGTCGCTATGAGTCAGAAGTGACTCAATGGCACACAGCAACAGCTTGTGCCCCACTACCCCTCTGTCTGTTTGCTGTACTGTGGTGGCTTGCAAGTTTCTGTGATGCTGGAAGCTATGCCACCAAGATTTCAAATACTAACAGGATCACCCATGGTGAACAGATTTCCAGGGCGCTTCCAGGCTAAGACAAATTAGGAAGAAAGACCTGGCAATCTACTTCCAAAAATCAGCCAATGAAAACCTCATGGATCACAGCAGAACACTGTCCCACTGACTTGCCTGCTCTGGACTCGTCATCAGGAGGGATCAATCGTTGGAGGAGGACATCATGCTTGGTGAAGCAGAGGGCCAACCAGGGCCTGGGAGATCCTCGGTGAGATGGACTGGCACAATAGCCGCAACAGCGGACTTGAACGTGCCGGTGACTGTGCGGATGGCACGGGACCGGGCAACACTTCATTCTGTTGTAGGTGGGGTCGCCATGAGTTGGAGTCAACTCAATGGCAGCTAACAACAACTACTACGAGCCAGACCCTGCTCTAAGCACAACATGACTGACTCATTGAGTTCTCCCAAAATCTTATAGGACAGGTACCCATAAGACTCTAATCAGTGTTTTACAGATGAGGAAACCAAGACAAGCGAGAATGAGGATGGAGAGGTTACACAGAGACCTGAAGTCACAGAGTGGGCTCAGAGCACATGTCATTCGGGCTCCTGGATCCAAGCCCTGAGCCACTACACAACAGCCCTCTCAACACAAGAGACGTGCTGCCCATAAGCAAGAGCCACTTCTACCTGCTACCTACCTTTGCAGGGGGAATCTCATGGCCCATGGTACCTCGTAGGGCTGACTTCACAAGACTAATTAGTCTTGGGGACTAACCACCCTTTTCCTGTGAATTCTGTGTACCCAGCATGAACGTGCCTTACCCGCTGCGATGACGTGAAGATGGGCAGCCTGATTCCATCACATTCGTACTGGCTGATGAAGCCCCGCTCCTGTGTGAGGTCCAGCACGCCCTCCACGTGGCTGTAGAGTCTTCTGACAATGGCTGGCCGGTGACTCTGCAGCTCGCGGGCTGGGCAGGGTGAGTGTGGGTCCCAGAGTCCACAAAGCTCGAGGGGCTGGCTGTCGGCCTGGGCCTCCTGAACAGCCGCCATGAGCTGTTCACAGCCCCAAGCTCCCTTGTTCCACACCGTGTCCAAGAGGCGCCTGGCCAGGTGGGAGAGGGGCTGGCCCAGGAGGCTGAGGCTCTCATAATCCTCCCAGGAAAGGACTTCCCAGGACAGCAGCCAGTCCAGGACGCCCTCGAAGCCCTCCAGGGACCCCGAGACCAGCAGCCCCACCAGCTGGCTCCTCTGGGCCTGAAAACCCTCCTGTGTGCACATTTCACAACCTGAGGAGGAAAGCTAGGTGAGCGCAGGACTTCTCCAGAAGCCAGGCAGGGGGTAAGCCAGGCCCAGCCCAGGTCTGAGCCAGCCATGGTTCTCCCCTCAGACATCACCCAATCCAGCCCCCATTGTGCGGATGTGCAAACTGAGGTCCAGAGAAGCCAAGAAACCCGCTCGAGGCCCCACAGAGAGTTTGAAGCCGTCAGGCATTAAATCGAGACCCTAGCTCCCTATTCATGCTTGCTCCCTAGCTTAAGAAGTTTAAAAAGACACCCTTGAGTTAAAGGAGCAATATCCCCCAAGGGATCACAGAATTCATGTGGGTCTGATTCAGGCCACAGCAGCTCTCTTTCCACTAAGGCTAAGATTTATCAAGCACATGCATGGCTGTGAGAATTCATTTATCCCTCCCAACCACTCTGAAGGGGCCCTGGTGGTGCAGTGGTTAAGAGCTTGGCTGCTAACCAGAAGGTCGGCAGTTCAAATCCACCAGCAGCTCCTTGGAAACCCTATGAGGCAGTTCTGTTCTGTCCTATAGGGTCGCTATGAGTCGGAATCAACGGGTTTTTTTTCTTTTCTTTTTTTTTAACCACTCTGAGGCAGGTGCTATGAGAAAAAAGCCCAAACCTATTGCTGCCGAATCAGTTCTGACTCATGGTGAGCCCATGTGTTACAGAACAAAGCTGTGCTCCATAGGGTTTTCAATGTCTGTAATCTTTATGGAAGCAGATCGCCAGGGCTCTCTTCTGTGGTGCCGCTGGGTGGGTTTGAACCACCAACCTTTAGTTTAGTAGTCAAGCGCAAACCATTTGCGTGACCCAGGGAACTTTAGGTGCTATGATCAGTCCCGTTTTACAGATGAGGAAACTGAGGCACAGAGAGGCTAAGTGACTCGTTCAAGGGCTCAGATGAAGTGGAGATAGGATTGCAACTCAAGAAGCAGGACTCCAAACACGGGCCTTTAACTACCTTATATCTGAGTTCCCCACAGGAGCCCCCAGCCCACTCATGCCCTCTGCTACCCTGAGGAGCAGGCCCAGAACAGTGCTAAAAAGATCCCAAGTCAAGTGAAGGGCAAATAATGATGCAAACTAAGTTGTTTGTTAGTTTCCAGGCGCGCTGCTGCCTGCTAGTCCTCTCTCTACTCCTGCGCCACTTGCTCCCCAGCTCTCCCTTCCTCCTCTCTCTCCCCACCACTCAGTATACACTGCCCTGCCCTGCTGCTGCTGTTGGGCCACAGCTGGCAATGGCCTGCTCTCAGCTCAGCCCTCACGCTCTGGATTCTGGGACTTTGAGGGGGAAGCAACTTCCGGGAGCCTCAAGCCCTGGGAGGGTGCCCTGGTAGCAGAGAAATCTCTCTGCATGGTCCCTTCTGCGATTGTCCCAGGGACCAGGGACAAAGAATTGGTGCTCTGCCCAGAGAAAACGAAAGTGAAATGGTGTGGGGATGGAAAAATCAAGAGGAAGGCCTGCTTCTTTTTATAAATCAGGGACATTCTAAGGCACTCAAGCCCTCTGTGGAGGGGGAGCAGACACGAACGGGCTGGGGGATTTCATTGTTTATGTGTCGCCCTCCCTGCCTGGCCCAAGATGGAGCCTCAGTCTTACTCATCCTGACATCCCTGAGCCTGGAACACGGCTGGGTCCAGCCAAGGCCTCGTGGGAGTGTTCATGAATCAAAAACCCCACAGAGGAGGGGAAGGGCTGGAACACGCTGGGCCCTTCCTCATACGCTAGCGAAGGTAAACAAAAGGAGAAATCTTCAGCTCGGAACGCTGCCAACACACGGGCCGCAGGGCCGTCGCCGGCCAGATGAGGAAACTGAGGCAGTGAGGCTACCTGCGTGTCTGGCAGCTTGGGAAGGATGGCTGGCCCACTGCAGAGGCCGCCGTAAACCAGGAACTAAAAATGTTCTCCGTGTCCAAGCAGGCCTCCTCCTGTGCCCGCTGCCGAGCAGAGGAGCCAAGAGCGGGGGTGGGGGCAGGGAAGGACAGGTGGGAAGGGCAGAAAGTTCCAGGCTTGGCCTGCAGTGGTTCCCAGCCAGGGATGTGGCACAGCCCCCGCCGCCACCCCTGCCTCGGTCCTGGGGAAAACACCAGAGGTATGCAGAATGTCCATCTCTGTCACCCAGAGGATGCCTTCTCTTTCCAGGGCACGGGGACAGCTGGGCCACCCTCTCCCCACTACCACACATGAGACTGGATGGAGCAGCAGGACTGGCAGGCCTGGACGTGTCCACAAAACCCACCCCCGGGGGAGACCCCAAAAAGATGGGCCAGGAGCCAGGGCTGGCCAGCCAACCTAACAGAATTAGGTAATTCTCAGCGGTTCTGACACAAGGCCTTGTGAGTCCACCATCACCCTCGCTGAGAAACCCCACCGGGGACATGAGACACACCCACAGATGTGCCCGCCTCCCCCCCACACACACAGGCAGACACACGGAGAGTCTGAAGGGCCCCTTCCCAAACATACCAATTTGGAGGCGGCTGACCAAGGCTCTAGCCACAGCACACCCAGGCTAGTGATGTCAGGGCTCTGTCGTCAGAGTCATCAGAGACTGGAAGGGAAAGACAGGTCCCGGCCATGCGGCTTGACATTCTGTCCAACCACGAGCAGCTGGAAAGTCCCACCTCTGTCCTAGCCTTCTTTCAGAAACCTCAGAGCAGGGAGAATCCCCAAGGACCAAAACAGCCCGCCCACTACCCCAAAGACAGGCATTGTTTGGTCTCATGGTAAACATCTGGGGAAGAGGACCTGACCTTGTTGCAATCCTCACTAACTAGCTCAGGAAGTTCTTCATAATGTCTAGCTTAAGTTTCTCCTGCTTCAGTTTAAATCGGGAAAGAGAAAACAGATGTTCACCCACCACTTATTTCACAAAGGCTGCCCCTTGCCTTTTATCACCTGCTCAGACTTTCTCTCTTCAGATTAATAAATCAGTCTATGTGCACTGCCCTTTCTTATGTGCTTCATTTACTACAACTTTGGAGTCATTATTGCTCTTCCTCAGGGAAAGTGATCAGTTGCCCTTGAGTTGATTCCGACTCATGGTGACCCCATGTGTGCAGAGAAGAACTGCTTCATGGGGTTTTCAAGGCTGTGACCTTTCGGAAGCAGATTGCCAGGCCTGTCTTCCGGGGCACCTCTGAGTGGGTTTGAACTGCCAACCTTTTGGTTAGTAGTCAAGCCCTTAACCATTTGTGCCACCAGGGAAAGTAAGGCCTGTGCAAAGGAAGGGCAGAGGGGTGCTTTCTTGCTGGAACAGGGGGTCAGGCAGACAGAGTGGTCCATATGGACCCACCCTTGTCCCCATTCCCAGTCCTCAGCCCTGACACTGCCTTCCTTCCTGAGCCCTCAAAGCAGGCCTAGGGTTCTCTGGGGCCATGAGCCAGTTACTTTGCTTAAGTGCTGAAATCCCAGCCCACTGCAGATAGGAGAGGAAGGGAGGGCCCAGGAAGCCCACTCCTGAGCTGGCTGGCTCTCAGCTAGGGCTACATCTCCCCTGGGGTACTGGGCCCACCTCCTCACCTCCTTCAGCCACCCTCCATTCTCTGGCCTCTTCACCCAGCTTCTCTTTCTAGGACACCATTTCTCAATGGTCCCAAACAGGCTGTAATTTCTCTCATCTGAAGAGTAAAGCCCTCCCCCTTTCGGCCACAGTCTCATTCTGTGTCCCCCATGCCGCAGGACTCCTAGGCAGTGGTCTGTACGCCTTCTCCAAGTCCTCACCTCCCATGCTCTGTGATAGGGCTTTGGCCCACCCCTTCCCCAGACTGCTTCTGCCAAGGTCACAGGTAACTGCCCTCTTCTTGCTGTTGTGCCAAAGGCATTTGTCGTAACTTCGGCCTCCCTGGCCCTGGGCGGCCTTTTCTCACTAGCACCCAGGACGCTCCACCCTCTGGGTTTTCCTCCCATCTCACCCACCGTGGGTGACGGGTGCGAGTGAGTGAGTAATCTCTTCTCCTGTATCACTCTCTCTGTAAGTGAGCTTACCTGGCCTTATGGCTTTAAATACCAGCTATCTGGTGATGCGAGCCCTGGGGGCATGGTGGTTAAGAGCTTGGCTGCTAACTGAAAGGTTGACAGGTCGGCAGTTTGAATCCACCAGCTGCTCCTTGGGAACCCTATGAGGCAGTTCTACTCTGTCCTATAGGACCACTATCAGTCGGAATCGACTCAACGGCAATGGGTTTGGTTGGGTTTATATGGTGATAGGCCCTAGTGGTGCAGTGGTTAAGCACTCGGCTGCTAACCGAAAGGTCGACAGTTCGAATTCTCCAGCCCTCCTTGGAAACCCTATGGGGCAGTTCTACTCTGTCCTATAGGGTCTCTCTGAGTCAGAATCGACTTGACAGCAACAGGTTTGGTTTATATGATGATGGGAGTTCCTGGATAGTGGAAACAATTAAGCGCTTGTCTGCTGACAGAAAAGTTGGTGGTTTGCGTCAACCCAGATGTGCCTCAGAAGAAAGCCCTGGTGATCTACTTCCAAACAATCAGCCATTGAAAACCCTGTGGAACACAGTTCTACTCTGACACACGGGGGCACCATGAGTCAGGCTCTGCTTCACAGCCACTGGTTTTGGTTCACACAGTGATGATGCCCCAAATTTTATTTCCAGCTCCAACCTCTCCTCAACACTTTCCCCAAACGCCTCCTAGACATCTTCAGATAGACGTCTAATCCGTATCCGAAACTTTACAAGTACAAACCAGATTCCTGATCTCCCCCTCAAGAGCTCCTGCCACCATCTTTCCCATCTGCTGATGGCAGCTCCAAATTTCCAGGTACTTCAAACCAAAACCCTCGGCATCTTCCTTGGCTGCGCCCTTTCTCTTACACCCCACATCCTATTAACCCGACTGTCAAAATATAGCCCAAATCTGAAAATCTGGTTCTTTCTCATCACTGCTATGCCGTGTTCCAAGCTCTATGGTCTCTCCTCTGAATGGCAGCTGGGTCGCCTCACTGGTCTTCCCCTGTGCCCTCACCGCCACCCCACAGCCAGATAAACCAGCTAAACCCTAACTCAGAGCAGGCACTTTCTCTGCTAAAGTGCTCCAATGGCCTCCATCATATTCAGGGTGCAAACCAACACCCTCACGGTGACTCTCAAGCCTTACACCTCTTCCAACCCTCTTGAACTTCCTTCCTACTGATCCCCTTCACCCACTCTGCTCCAGCCAGCCACACTGGCCTCCTTGTTTCTAGAACAAGCCCAGCTTGCTCCTTCCCATCAGGCTTCTGCCTTAAGGCATGTGCACTTCCTGCCGCCGCTGGTGCACTCTCCTGCGCCCCAAGATTTACAGAGCTCGCCCCTCACTTTCTCCAAGGCTTTGCTCAGTGGCCGCTGTCTCTGAGAGAGAGGCCTTCCCCAACTATGCTATCTAAAACTGCAGTCTCCAAGCCCAGCCCCCCCAGGCCCCTTCCCTGCTTTATTTTCTCCATAGCCCTCTTCACTACCTGACATACTATGTACCGACTTCCTGGATCATTGCCTGACACCTCCCTGGAGTGTGAACTCCATGAGGACAAGGAGTTTTGTCTGTATGCTTTGTTGCTATATACCCAATGTCTCATCGGGTGCATTAGTAAGAGTTTTCTGAATGAATGAATTTACTCAGCTCCAGGAGGCAGAAGTGGGATCCAGGTGGAAGTTGCACCTCACAGATTTTGGCTAAATGTCAGGAGAGCTGCAAGACTCAGAAGGGGCACCTCGTAAGTAAGGAGCTCCCCGCCACAGGGTATGAGCTGCAGAAGCTATGCCACCGCTCAGCTGGGATTCTGCAGTGGGTGGGAGGGGGCTGGGGGCCACATGAGCTCTGAGGTTGGTTCCTGCCTCAGATCCCAGTATATCAAGAGGCAAAGGAGCCTTGAGTGACCAGCAAGCCAGCAGAGTGATCGGGGCGGGGTCATGGGAATGCCCTTCCAGTCTTCTTCACCCCGGGACCACGGTAGGGTACACTGGAGGTGCCGGTACAGGCTTTTCCCCTCCATGGAACAAGGACCCTGGAGGAGGCCAGGCCACAGCGCACGGGGAGACCAAGACGGAGGCCAAAGGCAGGGAGTCAGCAAAGGGCTCAGAAAGAGCTAGACAGGCAAAGGAAGACTCGAAGCCAGGGGTTCAGCTGCCAGCCCCCATCCAGCTGGAGGAGACCCTCCCCAGGGGAGCTGGGGAGGCTTTTTCAGTTTGTGGGAAAGCAGGTAGGACCAGATGCCTGCTCACCAACAGAGCTGCAGAGACCTGGGCTCTGGGCAAGCCTGGAGTGGGCCTGTCTAGGCAGGATGGGGGGTGAACTGGAATCTCACACCCAAGGGGTGAATTAAAGAGCCCGAGGCGGGGTTAGAGATCAGATAGGCAGACTCACATACACTCACAGGCTTGGTGAAGATGGGGAAACTGAGGCCCAGAGAGAGGAAGGCAACGGACAAAGACCTGAAGCTGAATCTTCTGATCCCCAGACCTGAGCGGGCCGCGTGCCCCTCTGGACTGCACATCCTCTCCCCCACCAACCACACGACTTCCCAAGTCAGCTGCTCCTCAGATCTCAAAGGTTCCTGGGGGCTCGGAAGTCCTCTGTATCCGCAGCCCGCCAGGGGGCTCCCCGCCCTGGAGACGCCCCTTTCCTTCCGTCCCCACCTACTCCTCAGAGCTCCCCAAGGGGAAACGGAGGCAGGCCCTCCCCAAACCCAAAGGCCAGGACGGCTCTGGAGCCAGGTGTCCGACTTGGGACGTGGGATCCTCGGGGCCCACCGTCTCCCCGCCGCCCCGGTGTTGGGCGTAGCCGCGCAGGTAGCGCGCCCTGAGCCAGCACTCACCGCGGAGTCGCAGGCTCCCGACTCCTCGACCCGGGCCTGGGCCACAATTCCGGCTCTGGTTCGGGCTTCAGGCTACGCGGGCGCCCGGCTCCGCCCCTTAGCTGTCCACCCCGCTCTCCTCTGGGGCGCTGGCCGCACCCCCTGGGAGAACCCGCCTCCCCGCCGGCAAGAGCTCACTGGATGACTGATAGGGTGGGAGAGTCGGCAAGTGTGTCCTTCTCTACCGCCACATTTGAACTAGGAGGAGGGCTGGAGAGTCTCTCGGGAAACCCCTCCAACGCGCGCGCGCGCACACACACACACACTCACATATACACACACACACACTCACATATACACACACACACACACAACTCTCCCACTCACGCACACTGTCACATATACTCACACACTCTTACACACAATCACACACACTCTCCCACACACACATACTGTCACACACACTCTGTCACACACTCTCACACACACACATACACCCACACACGGCAGTATTCCGTGACATGAAAAGCTATTGGTGCCAGTATCAATCAATGCACTTTTGGGGGGTCAGTAAGCCCACAGTCATCTAAAACCTTAAAATTGCAAAGCTCAGTTCCCAGAATAGCACTTTCCAGAGTGTGATGGGTTACACTTTAGGCCACTCTGAACAGGGCATGACCCACAAGTAAGTCATGTGGTAGTGAGGTTCCTCTTTTTTCATTTTTCTTTCCATCTTTCTGTTTCAGTTCAGGAGACAGGTCTCCGCTTAGTGCTCATCAGCCTAAACCCTTTTCTAACACTGCCTAGTCTACTCCACTCGCCACAATAACTAACTAGAATTTAATATCACTGATCCGTTTTCATTAAATGTGTTTCATGATTTCTTGTTCCTCAGAGCAAGCGACACTGGTTTTCCACTTAAGGTATTAATATAAAAGCTCCTTTTAAAACACTTGCATTTGGATTCGTGAAAATGTGAAGTCAATTCAAAGAAATACAATGAAAATAGCTAATTTATAGAGTGCTTACTAGGTGCCAGTCTTTAGTATTCATGTATTATAGTAACATGTTGTTGTTGTGAGATGTCGTCCAGTTGGTTCTGCCTCAGAGCAACCCCATGCACAACAGAACAAAACAATGCCCACTCCTGCGCCGTCCTCACAATCGTTGTTACGCTTGAGCCCATTGTTGCAGCCACTGTCAATCCACTTCGCTGAGGGTCTTCCTCTTTTTCGATGACCCTCTACTCTACCAAGCATGATGTCCTTCTCCAGGGACTAGTCCCTCCTGATAACACTTCCAAAGTATGTCAGATGAAGTCTCGCCATCCTTGCTTCTAATAAGCATTCTGGTTGCACTTCTTCCAAGACAGATTTGTTTGTTTCTTCTGACAGTCTATAGTATATTCAATATTCCTCATTAACACTATAATTCAAAGGCATCAGTTCTTTGGTCTTCCTTATTAGTCGTCCAGCTTTCACATGCGTATGAGGCAATTGAAAAGACCATGGCTTGGGTCAGTCCCACCTTAGTCCTTAAAGTGACATCTTTACTTTTTAACACTTTAAAGAGGTCTTTTGCAGCATATTTGCCCAATGCAATGCATCCTTTGATTTCTTGACTGCTGCTTCAATGGGTGTTGATTGTGGATTCAAGTAAAATGAAATCCTTGACAACTTCAATCTTTTCTCCATTTATCATGATGTTGCTTATTGGTCCAGTTGTGAGGATTTTTGTTTTCTTTATTTTG